ACAAGATGAAACCACCTTCAGAAATAACCTTATCAAGCAACGAAACTAGGTAGAACGGGAAGCTTTCTTGTCAGGGCAGAAGTAAGATCAGTTTCGCGCCTAGCACTGCGGCGCCCTCTAAATGCAAGGCCCCATTGGGTTCCCCGGTTGGTAACCGCTGTTATATAAATCGAAAAACAGCGTTATTGTCAATTGTTGATTATAAAAATCATTTTGAGCATACCTGCGTTTCCTGAATATCCGGTAATTTTTATTCGATAATTGTCTTCCGCTCCAGCAATTTGAAAATGGCTGAAAATTAGAATATTATTTGATATTTAATAATATATATAAATGTATAGGATATTTTAGGTTATTTCATGATGATTCTACTTGAAACAAATTTGTCATGAACAATAACGATCAACAAACGAAAATTTGAAAAAATTTCTAAAACTTCAAATGCTACAACCAATTACCCTGTTACTTTTATGTCTAGAATTCAAATATACAGGGCGACCAAGAAGTCTTCAAATTTTTCAAAATTGCAAAAGGAATTTATCGATACCATATATTGTTTTGGCCCTCACATGTATTAAATAAAGTAAAAATACCCAAACAATTACTGATTAAAATACAACAAACCTGGTTTAAATATATTGAGAACTGAATTCATAAAATATAAGTTGTAAAAGAACTTTAAGCACACCCTGTATATTTACACGTAATGCCATTAGCAAACTTAAAATGGTAGTTCACTGAATAATCGACCGTTTTGTAAGTCTTTTTACGCTCTTTCATTTTATCAAATACTAAATAAAGTATACAAAATATCTGGCAGTGCGTAAAGGAAATTTCAATTACCCGTATTTTGCAAATAATTTTTTGTTGTCTTTCGTTATAAAGTCGAATCGAATCTCATGAGGACCATTGGTGGATATTCTATGCATCGTCTCTAGTCCTGTGAAATATAAAGATATCAATAGTTAGTGTTGGCTGAATCGTGTTTTTTCAACTTTGAGAGTCAATTCTAGTCAAGATGTTACGTCAGAGACAAAGTTAGGTGAGCCAGTTAGCTATTGGTTATCCCACATTTCTGAACTTAAATCTCGGACCACGGAAGTTTTTAAACGCCCGAAAACGGTATAGAATCAAGTCACTGCATTCCCGTGTCACAATAAATTATTTGGAATCTGGTATATTTTATGGTATTTGGGGTGGACCAAAGTAGAATGACAGTTTTGTAACTATTTATAATAATTAAAGTAATTTAACATCAATTGTAATCTACTTCTGGTCCACCCTATATATATATATGATAGTCGGATAAACGAATGCGTATTAATAGAAAATTCGAGACAAGACGAGAAATAACATATTGCCTTGATATCCGCGACACCATCCTCTGTATGACATTATATAAATTTGATTATATTTTAAATAACCAACGCATAATTAGGTTCATAATATTAAGTATACCTAGCCAGAATTCTCGTTCTATGTGACCAAAACCGGTGACATAGTCATTCCAGTCACGATAAAAATCTTCCGATCCGTCAAGTCTTCTTTGTATTACCTTAAAAAAAGAATGTGACAGGTTAATTAAAATGAGTTGCTATCGTCAAATTTTAGGGACAACTATTCTACTCAGATGTTTGTATTCTTTCCTTTTGTGTCATAAAACGAGCATATGGAATAATATATTATATGTTTAATTTTTTTGCGCGGATTGTGACGCATTGGTCTGAAATATACGGCTAGTGTTAGGGCGAAGCTTTCCATCGCATCTCTGATTACACTGCGTAGGTTCGCAGGTTTGAATCCTGTGGGTGATTATATGCATAAGAATTGCTTAAATCCTCACCGCCGTATGGTGGTACGGGGGTACATGAGGGTTATCAAAACTCTACTCACAATCCAACCGCCACCATCGGTTACTTGATCACAATACACTTGGACTCCCTGTTTACTTTCATTGAACGGATGAATCGCATAATTTCCACTTGATATCACGTGATTCTTTACCGCTGCACAGTCCCGTGGAAACATCCATTCTAGAAAAAGTAATTGCACTTTTATTATGCTCCATGCCTGTTCAGATAATTTAAAAAAAAATAGAAATTATTGGGAAATTATCTTTACATGTTATCAATCTATGTTACGAGTATAATAAACTTCCCAAGTCAAAGTATTGTTCTTTGTATCCTATCTAATAACCAAAAAAATTATATTTATTTCGTTCTTTCCTATGCAAATACCAATTGCCCGAAGGAACAAGCAACAAGTACAATTGCAATGACGATTAGCTACTTGCAATTTATCGTTCAAAAAATTCACTATACCAAACTATAGAACAAGTAAATTAAAGTTTCCCAATGTATGCATTGGAACATTTTATAACTTACCATCCAACTCTTGAACTTGACTTTCAAGCTGTTCGTATCGTTCAACTAAATCTTCGCAGCAAGTACTTGGTGGCCCTGCTGGTCCTATCATTCCACGAGGTCCTTCTGGGCCGCGCTCTCCAGGTGGTCCAGGAGGCCCTTCCTTACAAGGTACTTCCTCATTACATGAAAGATGACAAATTCCGAGACTAATACTTGCTTGAGACTTACAAGCAAAGAATATGAGAATAATTAATGTCACCAAGAAAAATGACTTAGTATTGCCCGTCCACATCATGTCCTCTGATGAATTTCACAGGAATAAAATACCAAACGGCCCAGAATAATTGCTTTTATATACAACACATTGTATTGGTGCCTCTGCGGTTAAATGAGTTTTAGTAGGCAGTTATGTCACGGCTGTAATGGTAGCAGAATGACATTGATATGTCGCTAATAAACACATACACGCGAAAACCTATCTCTAGATCATATTAATTCAGCAGGCTATTCAACGTATGCATCACATGTATATAGCATAGGATCTTGTTCCGTGTTAAAAAGTGCAGCATAGTGATATTTAATCAAATTAGGTCTTTTTAGGGTGTGAAGTATTGCGGTTATTCTTGCAATCTCATTAAGACCTATATATCTACCGATTTAATTAAAACTTGCTGGTGCTGGTGTTTCTGTTTTGAATAATACAAACATTTCATTCTTAATTGACGTTTAATTTAATAATTCTCATGCATAACAACATCTATAATATGTTTATCCCCTACAAACATTTTGAAAGTTAGATTTAAGGGGCATTAATATCAGAAATTCGACCTGGGCAGCAAACAGTTTGACAAGCCCCTGTCTATAATCCTTTCTACAGACCGATTTTAGAATTGATATCGATTTAGAATCGAATATATTTAATCAAATCGTGTTGCCGATGCGATGATGCTGAAGAAAAGTTTTTAATAATGATCAATGGTGTGAACTCAATAGCGACGTACTATCTTCCGTGGTCATATTTTACGTAAAAATGTTTGCTTATGACACTTTAATTTTAGCGTAAGCTGGGTTTAAAATACCCATGTTCAATTATGACAATTATACAACCACATATTGGGTAACGCTGGGGGACGCAATGTAAATGTAGCAAGGTGCTTATTTAAATGTCCATACACGTTATGCTTTATTTGTGACACATTGCAATAAAATAAGTTAGTGTGCCGAATCTCTTCTAGTGGTGCACTTCTGTGCACTCTATCGATGTTGCATACTTGGGCTGTATAGATACCGTTTGAGAAGCTCTTGTCTAGACTCAGGGATGGCGAACTTGCGGCCCACAAACTAATTTTTGAGGCCCACGAACGACCCGACATTTAACGCATAAAACAAAAATTGATTTTTAGTATATTATTGGCTCCCCACGGATTTATTTGGATACAGTCTACAAGTGATTCTGTACGGCACTTGTTTAGTAGTGAGTAGCGTCAGTTGTATGTTCCTTCTTGATGAACGTCATTTGTAATTATAAGTTATGTCTAGTTTGATTTTTAAAATTTGAAACTATCTGGAATACGGAGGGAGGTTTGCGACGAGAGTCAAACATTCCAAAGTTCTTGGACGAAAATTATTTTTTTCCTTGCCCCTTTTAAAACCAGTTTGCTTGATATGCCAAGTCAGCATCGCAGTTATTAATGGATTTAATGTAAAATGTCAATACAAAACGTGATATGGCAAATACGAAATTCAATCTCGAGACCCGGGTTTGCGCCATTGCTTATTGCGCGACAGTGCAAAACGTGTAAAGTGCTTGCTCGAGAGCACATATTGCTGTGAGCAGCTTTATCTAAAATGTATTACACTGAGAATAAATTTCGTACTCGCTTGTCAGGTCGTCATTTGGACGACGTACTGCGGGGCAACGAAGTTGCCATTTGATTTTAACGCTTCAGCCATGACAGAGAAACATAATCATCCTCCACATCGATAATAAGTAAATAAAAACATGTATTGTTTGATAATATATTAAAAAAAGCCGCTCATACTTCTCATTGTGCCATGCTTTTACCACAGCAATAGAGGGTGCGAGTGCGTCATAGCTTGAAGTAGTTTCATGTGGAGATGGTTCGTAGGCGAAAATTGATGCGGTTCGCACGCCACCGGAAATGTGTATAGCTGACGCGCACGTACATAAAGTTTGTCGACGACTGATCTATGGAGTGCAGGGGCAAAAGCATTTATTACGACCAGCCTTTGTTTGAACATCTTAAGTTACAATAGTAAAAGTTAAAATAAATACAATAAAATTTTCTAAATTCTGAGGCAAGTACTCTGAACCGTCCAATGTGGCTGTTTCAATCCTTGCTCAGGTATTCCTGCATTCAGTGCACAGTGGCGCATTAACACAAATGCACCAAGAATTTGGCAATAGTCAGGCACGTGCTATATCAATCAACCTTGTGATTGACCAATCAATCCTTTAAATTACCTTAGTGTGTACTTGCTCACAACTTATTCAGAGTAATACAGTGAACTTATCTAAAAGATTATATTATTTTTGTGCACCTTTCCATAGATACTTTCATTTGAATGCCCAAATTTTTCATAATGAACGGTAACCACTAACCAATGAAGCGCTAAAATTAACACATGATTATATTCAATTTGATTCAGTCCATGGAAGCTATAAATATGCGTTTAACCTCCTAAAGTCATTTTCATAGAATTCAGTTCATAACCCTTACTAAAATCAATACATACCGAAATAGTGTTCTGTTGAGTATATAAAACGTAAACTCTAAAATATCCGAATTCTAACCCATGCAATAGATATCTTTTAATCAGAAAAAAATATAGATTGCGCTTCATTCGCCGGTAAATTGACACTTTTTATTTTAAATTACTCGATTGGTTACAATCAACGAGAAAACGTAAGTTTTAACAGGAGAGGCATGGTACATTGGTGTGAATCTCATCTATTCGTCCTTCATTATGAAGTCGAATTTTGTAATGTAGAAATGAATTGTTATTTTTTTATGAGAATTACATGCTTTAAAAAAAAACAACAGGAGGCAAAGCAAAGCAAATGTTATATATACTGGCAATAAAAATGTATACAGATTTTTCTGTGATTGTTATTAATCCGCTTGTATTTGACGCTACGCGGGCATAATACTTTTTTCACTTATAAAAACACCAAGAAAATTTACAACCTAATAGAGCAAGTGTTTATTTGATTCAAACAATAAATGGCAATGGCTGTTTAGTTTCTGCGTTTCCGGATCTTCATTTCTACAAATTTTGCAAATGGAGTGTATGAATTTTTCCACCTAAACCAGGATAAACCCTTGGCCGATGCCGTTGTGTCTGCGTATAAACCATTCAAGTTAGCGTTATGGCACCGATTGTACCACCACCCCCCTTTGTACGATACAGCGCAATTTTTTCCAGGGTCGTGATCGTTTTCTTGATCCTTCGTCGTAAATTGGTTATTGTTATGGTTTGCCATTGAATCGCCTGTTAAGAGAAACGACATGATAAATTCAATCACCCAAGAATAAGTGCCGTGCGATACATGTTACTCTATTAAATTGTATCGTTATAAGAGATCGATGAAACTGTTTTAAACATATACATACTACATTAATTTAATATGTAAAACAGCGCTATTTTCTATTGTTAATTATAATAAATATTTTGAGCATACCAGCATTTCCTGAATATCCGGTAATTGTTATTCGATAATTTTCTTCTGCCCCAGCAATTTTAAATTGTCTAAACATTAGAAACTTTTGTGAATTTAACACATAAATTGTATTTTTAATCACGTAATATTGCTTAAGATGAGTTTACGTGGTGCATATTTGCAAGAAACGAAATGAACAATAAATTGAAGAAATCACTGAAATATCAATTGGTATAACAAATTCATAAGTATAAATACTACGGGAGGCTCTTGGCTAGTCTTCGAACTGATAATAGGACTAAAATAAGGAAAATTGGAAAAAAATTATCGCCTAACCCTAACCTGTTACCCATGTTACGTTCCGATGTCCGCCATCTTGGTTCGCATACTTTGGGAGCACCCATTTTTATTCCATCCAACTATAAATGGAGCATTGAAAATAATTACCCGTATTTTGCAAATATTTTTTCGTTGCCTCTTGTTATAAAATCGAATCGAATTTCATGAAGACCATTGATGGATATTCTGTGCATCGTCTCCAGTCCTGTAAATTATAAAGATATTGATAGCTAGTGCTTAGCCCTCATTTCTGAACTCAAACCTTGAATCAAGGATTATTTTATTCAGAACCTTGTTTTATTGCAACGCTCGAGAACGGATGTGGATTGGAGCCACTTCATTCCCGAGTCACAAGTCAAGTTCAGTCGAGCCAGATTCGGAGTTGATTTTAACAAAGAGTGAAGTACATAATATTCTTTCTCAGAAAATCTAATTTTGAAATTAAAAATTCAACCGTTTTAGCCCGAAAAAATATTTATGACAGAACACCATGCCACTAGTCTATGAAAAAGTGTGTGAAGAAAATGTGAGCTATTAACGTTTAGTGACGTACGAATATTCAGAGAACGGAAATCGTTTAGCATATTTTATATGTTAATGCTGGCTCATTATATATAGCTGGTCGGATTATCGAATCCTTAACATCACCATAACCTCCGGGACAGTACAAAAAAGATTCTTTTATCATGGACGCCACCATGCGCAGAAAAAACTTGAAAATGCCTTTGTTTTGAACAAATAAGGTGTTATATCTATAAATTCAAGTTGTTCGTCATTTTAAGTATACCTAGCCAGAATTCTTGTTCTTTGTAACCAAAACCTGTGACATAGTCTTCCCAGTCACGATAAAAATCTTCCGATCCGTCAAGTCTTCTTTGTATTACCTAAAAATGAACGTGACAAGAAAAATGATCTTTGATTTGCAATCGTCGACATTTTTCATCGCTCCTCTGATTTCCCTGCGTGGGTTCGCAAGTTGGAATTCAGCGGCGGATACTTATGTGCCAGAGAATTACTGAACTCCTTCATCGCCGTAGAGTGGTAACCGTAAAGGTTGGTCGGTTTTGCCTACCTAAAGTTCATATACTTGAAACAAAATAACTGGAAACCGGACGAGGAGGCCGTGGTACGGTTTATGACTATCATTTTAAAATGGTCGCAGACGAATTATATTCCAAAACCTTCAGATTTCTGGATCTGTTCTTGACCAACGGCAGTTTAATATCATGAACGGTAGTGTACAGTGTCTAGAGTCTGGACTAGACAAGGTTCATGCATCGTTGTTCTGCCTATCTCATTAAAAATACATAAATTCTATTATGTGCACTGAGCCCTCTGCACGCATTATATTGAATAGGTGTATTGAGATACGAAGTAAATGGGATTAAAAATAGAAAAAATGCCACACTTGGCTTTGCTATTCAAGAGTTTTATCTAAACATAGTTACATGGAATTGAGATATATATCAGAATTGCGTATGTTAATGATTTCTGTTTGGGCCTCATGCTATTGAACTACTAATTCTTAAATATAGACAGAACGTTTTTCGAATGCACTACTTACAATCCAACCGCCTCCATCGGTTTCTAGATCACAATACACTTGGACTCCTTGTTTACTTTCATTGAACGGATAAATCACGTAAGTTCCACTTGATATCACGTGACTTTTTACCGCTGCACAGTTTTGTGGGAATATCCATCCTAAAAAAATATTGTCACTTATGTTATGTTCCCTGCTTGGTTGAATAATTCAAAAAGTAAGGATGGTTTGGAAAAATAATCTTCACCTGTCATCGAGTTATGTTACGAATATAAATATACCTTTCAAATCAAAACAATGCTCTTCGAATCTTATCGAAATGTCCAATTATTTGTATTTCATTTTTTCTTGTGCAGATAACACTTGTATAAGCAACAGGTACAATTGCAATGTGAGTAAGCTTCTTGTGATTTTTCGCCCAAACAATGCACTATAGTACTATACTAACCTAAGAGTCAGTAAGAGACCATATCGAATAAATGCAGACACGAGGCTTTCCAAATGCCCCAATACATTGTAACATTATGTTTACTTACCATTTAACTCCTGAACTCGACGTTTAAGCTGTTCGTTTCGTTCAACTAGATCTTCACAGCAACTACTTGGTGACCCTTTCGGTCCAACTAATCCGCGATTTCCTACTGGACCGCGCTTTCCCGGTGATCCAGGTGGACCTCTTACGCGTGAAGGGAGCTGGCTCTCGTTCTCATCACATGAAAGCTGACAAGTTCCGAGACTAATACTTGCCTTAGACGTACAAGCGAAGTATTGGAGAATAATTAATGTCTCCAAGAAAAATGGATTAGTTTTGCTCGCCCTCATTATCTTCGTCTGGTAGAATTCTGAGCAATAAAATATGAAACGGCCCAGAATAATTGCTTCTATACACTACGCACTGTGTTGATGCTTCCCTGGATAGCAGGTGCGTTTTTGTAGGCAGCTGTTGTTATGTTTAGACTATTTTTTTCCTGCGAACATCTATCTCTAGGGAATTTCAAGTCGGCAGGCTATTTACCGTATGTCAAACGTGTACCTAGTAGAGAATGTTGTTGCGCGTTACAGAAATAATTAATCAAATTAGGCCTTTGACCTGTGAAGTATTTCGGTTATTCTTGCAATCTCGTTAGGCTGTATATACCGCACGATTTAATTAAAGCGTGACTGCATTTTCAAAGCATATTTCCCAAACAATATAACATCGTTGGGATAAGAGCTGGACATTGTATTTCTGTTTTGATAAGGAATATTCCAATGTAATTTTCAAAGATGGATTTTACATTTGCTACGTCGAATATATTTAATCAAATCTAGTAGCGACTGTTGTTATGCGTAGCGTTTGCAGCTCGCTTTGGGCGAATCCCATAGGCCGCACTGATTTTGAACATAATAAAAATATTTGTCTCCCTACTTATTTCTGACGCGTTATTTTCGCCAATAGTTAGCAGGGTGAATTCAATGTCTAGCGGTGTCTGGGGATCACCATGTATCAAACACATCTTTCGATGTCAACTTTTGAATCTCAGGTGACATGCAAACATATATTTCTCCAATGATTCGTCTTCATTAATAAATATCAGCCATCTCGTTTTGAGGTGAATCCATCAATATCTTTGTGAATTTATATTTATGGAATGCATTTATGACATGTGACTTCTCTCTGTTTAGTGAGTTACTGATAAAACAAGTTTTTTTGTGTGTGTGACAACTCAGCGAACTGACTGAGGGATAGATTCTTTGTCTTCTCTAATTTGTGTGTCTAGAGTAGACTCTAGAGCAGGGGTTCCCAAACTTATTTGGCCGCGGGCCAAAATTTCAAGGCGAGGATACTCGCGGGCCAGTAAAGCGAGATGACCAAAAAAGACCGACGTAAAAGCTGGGGTTGAGGGCGCGCTCAAGCGCCCTGAGAAAATTTTGAAAAATAGGCACCAAAAAAGGCTGCAAGATTGATTTTAGATACACCCAGTATCGCAGTTTGTTATGTAATAAAATTCATAAGTATAATAGTTAGGTGATAGAATACCCGAGGAATAACAAGCACGACTTTCAAAAAGTATTTGTGACTGATAGCGACTAATGAAGTTACTTGCTCATCTGGAGTATGGCTTCGTATAAATGTCTACTCATATCATGGTCAAGTTTATTTTTTCCATCCAGTAAAAATAACAAACGAAATTATGAAAAAAGTAAAATTGACACACATTTTACTGGGAAGGGAAATCGTTGGGAACTGATTATCAGGCAGCGACACCCAAGGTTTGTTATCCAATTAAATTTGTAGTTGAAGTTTATAAAACACTGTTATCTCTGGTGAGTATGGTTTTTGCAGTTGTACTACCAATATTATCCACTGAAACAGGGGTTGAGATTGACCCCAGAGATAAGAGATGACCCCAGATAGCGACTCATGTTTTTTTTTTGTTAAACAAAAAAGGTCTCAATGTATATAAATATTAAAAAAAAAAACGAATAGCCAACATAATTTACTTGCATTTTTGTAGATACGTGTAATTGGGGTTTGCTCGAAAACTGATGTTCAAAACGTGGCTCCAATTTGTTACATTGTATTTGCAATACCGCACTCCAAGTGATTATTTGTCAGTCTGGACCGTAGTTTAACAGGAATAGAACAAGAATGGTTTGTTGGCAAAGAAGACAAATCGCTGAAGTTTGATTCTTTCCAATAAAGAAATAAGAGCGCTGCTATTTATCCGAAAAACGCCTGTTTTCAGTGTCTAGTTTTCTTTTTTGTGACATCTTCAAGCTTCCTTAATATAGGGCTGATACGTGATACCTAAAAGACTGCCGTACGCAATCCTAATACCGGTACGTAAGTTAAGATACCGACACGTGCTTAAATTGTGATAATGACGTAACAATTGGCGGAATCTACGACATAAAACGATGAACACATTTAAATTGTTAAACGTGTTAGTATTTATTCACGGTTATAGTTTCACTAATGTTCGGCGGGCCATTTGAAATCGTCTCGCGGGCCGTAATTGGCCCGCGGGCCGCGGTTTAGGAACCCCTGCTCTAGAGCATCACATTTAATCACGTTAAAGTTAGCTCCCTCTTGACCGGGACAACATGCTGCTGGTCTTTCATAAATCCCGCCATATGCGAGTTTCGTCGATTTTGCGTCAGATTATCAAAATTTAATCAAAAAATGGGCATAATTCTGTGTTTTTGCTGAAATTGATTTACATTTGTTTTACTATTTTTATGACTATATCTTCAATATGAAATTATAAAATCAGTTCCCTCTTAGACAGAACACCATGTTGGGCTTTGAAAATCCCCTGAACTGCGTTATGCGGGTTACGTCATTTTGCTTCAGAATACCAAAATTCAGTCAAAAGATTGTCATAATTCTAAAACATCATTGAAATTCATTTGCTTCTGCTTACAATCTTTATGATTATATCTTTCATTCGAAATAATGATATCATCCCCACGCCTGTTCTTTGCTTCATTTAATCCGGCATTTTATTTTTTATATCAATTTCGCTTTGTCAATATTTTTCCGTGTGTGAATGATGTGAATCTCTTCTATTGGTCCTCCAAAATATGTTAAAGTCGAATTATGTGATGAAAGTTAAAATATTTTAGATGAAAATACTCAAAACAAAATAACCATAATATATTAACAATGAAAATATATACAGATTTCTTCTGTTAGTACTGCTAACATGATACTCTTGCCACTCATTAAAACGTCTAAGCACAAATTGACAACTGAATAGAGCAAGATATTCTTTGATCGTACAAAACAGGCGGCTATAGAGTCGCGAACCAAGGTGAAACACACAAACCATAATGACGTCGATGTATACCGGATTTTAGAATGTTATCATGATCAATCAGAGAAGACTGTTTATCAAGTTCGAATGATTACAGGATTTTGTATCTTTGGAATTTTCATATTTACCTCGGTGCGCAATTTTATTGACAACCTGTACGTACGGCGAATGGTATGAGCTATATTAATCTATATACTATTCCGAATTTGCCACGCTGTTTAGTCTCTGCGTTTCCTAATCTTCATTTCTACAAATTTGGCAAATGGAGTGTGTGCATTTTTCCACTTATACCAGGATAAACCCTTGCTCGATGTCGTGTCTGCGTATAAACCATTCAAGTTAGCAAAATGGCAACTGTTGTACCACCACCCCGCTTTGTATACTTCAGCGCAATTTTTTCCCGTGTCCTGGTCGTTTTCCTGATCCACCGTTGAAAATTGGTTATTGTTATGGTACGCCATCGAATCGCCTGTTAATAGAAACAACATGATAAATTCCATCACCCAAGAATAAGTGCAGTACGATACATGTTGCTCGAATAATTCGTATCGTTATAAGAGATGGATTGAAAAGCAAGTATATATACATACAAATTCAAGTTTTTAAACATACACATACTATATAAACTGAAAAACAGTGTTAGTGTCCATTGTTAATCATAATAATTATTTTGAGTTTACCAGCATTTCCTGAATATCCGGTAATCGTTATTCGATAATTGTCTTCTTTTCCAGCAATTTTAAATTGTCTAAAAATCAAAAAAAAATGTGTCAATTTAATATATAAAAAGTATTTTTATTTCCATTACATTTCTTAAGATGAGTTTACTCGAAGTATATTTGCAAGAAACGATCATGATCAATGAACGAAAATGTGGAGAAATCACTGAAAAACCAAATTCTACAACAAATTCCTTTTGCGGCTTTTACTTTGCAGCCTGAAATCTCAATTTATAGTATATGTAAAACTATTGGCACTCTTGAAATGGTTAGTTTACTAAATAATCGGTCGTTTTGTAAGTCTTTTTACGCTCTCTCATTTTATCAAAGACTAAATGAAGTACACATGAAATATTTGGCAGTGCGTAAAGAAAACTTCAATCACCCGTATTTTGCGAATAATTTTTTGTTGTCTCTTGTGATAAAGTCGAATCGAATCTCATGAAGACCATTGGTGGATATTCTATGCATCGTCTCGAGTCCTGTGAATTATAAAGACATCGATAGTTAGTGTTCAGCCTAAGCCCCATTTTCAAACCTAAAATCAAGAATTATTTTATTCGAACCCCGCCAAGTTTTTAACGCTTGAGAACGTCGAGCCGAGTCGAACCACTCTATTCCCGAGTCACAAGTCAAGTTGAGTCGCTCCTTCTTCGCGTCACTTTCTTCGTCCGCAGTCGAGCCAGATTTGTATTAAATTTTGTAACAAAGAGCAAAGTACAGAACATTCTTTCTTAGGCTAATCTGATTTTGCATTTAAAAGTTTAGTCGCCTATTGCCCGAAAAAGGTAATTTTGATAGCACGCCATGTTACTGTTCTACAAAAAGGTGACTGATGAAAATGTATTACATTAACATTTAGTGACGTGTGCATATTTCGAAAAATGGAATTATTTAGAATCTGGTATATTTTAACATTAGCGCATTATTACTTATATATAATTATACTTATTGCCATTATCACCGTAACATTCGAGGCAATACAAAAAAGATTATGTAGTCTTGTCATCGTCGACGCCATCATCAGTATGAGAGTATATAAATTACTTCAATAAACCAACGCAAAATTATGTTCGTAATTTGAAGGATACCTAGCCAGAATTCACGTTCTTTGTAACCGAAACCTGTGACATAGTCATTCCAGTCACGGTAAAAATCTTCAGTTCCGTCAAGTCTTCTTTGTATTACCTATAAATGAGTTTGACAAGTAAAATTTACCTTGATTTGCAATCGTCAAGATTTAAGGGACAATCGTTCACTCAGATGTTTGTAAATTATCCATCTGTCTGAGTGGCGGATAATTATTTGTGTGAGGATTTCTGCAGTCCTCATCGCCGTAGGGCGGTGCAACGAACTGTTGGTCGGGTTCGCCTACGCTAACCATAAAGTTCATGTATCTGAAAAAATAACTGATAACCGAACGAGAGGACGTGGCCGTGATTGAGCTGTTTACTCTCCGCCGGGGTAAAAATGATGTCGTATATCCTATTTGAGATGGCTTCATAATACACTAGACTAGCATGCTACACATGTCGCTGCAGCATAGGGTATTATACGTCATTATTGTATTTTATTGATCGTTCGCATTGCCGTGTTATATTTTGTCACTCAATATGGATTAATCATTTTGGAATAAATTGAGGACATTGCAAGCCAGTGACAATCGTATTAGATGAAGTAATTTCGGAATACAGCCAGCTACATACAGGCTGGCCATCTCAGTCGGAACGTATTGGTCACCTTCAAAGCTTATTTTAAAGGATAAATTCTATTGCGCGGCATTTAATGATAAGATGATGACTTAAAATGATTGTAATAATGGCCTCAGCGCGCAATCATATTGAACACGTATCTTGAGATACATACAATACACGCTTGTCTTTAATTGCCATAGTTTCGTCTAAGCAAGGTTACATGGAATTGGGATATTTATTATATATATATATATGAGAATGGGTTTGATAATAAGTTCTGTTTGTGCCACATGAAACTAGACCACAAATAGTTAAACATGGACAAAAGATCCCCGAAGATACTACTCACAATCCAACCGCCTCCACCGGTTTCTTGATCACAATACACTTGGACTCCTTGTTTACTTTCATTGAACGGACGAATCACGTAAGTTCCACTTGATATCACGTGACTTTTTACAGCATCACAGTCCCGTGGAAACATCCATTCTAGAAAAAGTAATTGCACTTTTTTGTGCTTCATGCCTGTTTAGATAATTTAAAAAACTAAAAAGAGTTTTGAACATTTACCTTTGCGTGTTATCGAGTTATGTTACGAGTCTAAACATACCTTCCAACTTTAGGCGTTGTTCTTCGAATTTTATAAAATTGTCCAAAATAATGCCGATTAGTTACTTGCAATTTTTCGTCCCAGAATGCATTATACCAAACTCATAATCGTTAGGAAAATAAAACAAGAAAATTCCAGTTTTCCAATGATTGCATCGCAATATCTAATACCTTACCAACCAACTCTTGAACTTGACGTTCAAGCTGTTTGTTTCGTTCAACTGGATCTTTGCAGCAAGTACCTGGTGACCCTGGTGGTCCCACCAATCCGCGGGGCCCTTCTGGGCCGCTCTTTCCCGGTGGTCCACGCGGTCCTGTTACGCGAGAAGGGAGCTGGCTCTCGTTCTCATCACACGAGAGATGACAAGTTCCGAGACTAATACTTGCTTGAGACTTACAAGTAAAGTACAAGAAAATAATTAATGTCGCCAAGAAAAATGAATCAGTTTTTCTCGCCCACATCATGTCCGTCTGGCGGAACGCACAGCAATCAAATGTCAAACGGCTCAGAATAATTGTTTTTATATATGCGGTATTTCGGTTATTTTTGCAATCTTATTAAGGCGTATATACCGCACGATTTAAGTTATTTTCAAATCACATTTTGCACGCACAATTGAACAACGTTGCATGGGAATGCCAGCTGGAGCTAGTATTTCCGTTTTAATATTGATAGGGAATATTCCATTAACCTTTACAAATACGAATTTCGGCGATGATACGTAGAATATATTAAAACAAAGATTGCAGCTTCTGCAGTTATGCGTAGCGTTTGCAACTGGCTCTTTTTCAAATATGGAAATGGATATTGCTGTTCCTATTTCAGCATTATCAATCGCTTAGAGACAACTGTTTATAAGTGAAGAAATAGAGCGGGACTTAAATATATGGACACGAAAGCCAAAACAATGTAGTACGGGTATGCATTCTGTCACAGTAGACTACCGGTACGGCATTCGTCACGAGTGAGGCGAAAGCTAAACCGCCCAAAGGTGCGCATTCTTATGACGTAATCGCAGACAAAGAGCAATCCCATAGAGCCCACATAAATTTTCAACATTAAAAATAGCCTTCTAACGAAAAAAACAATCCTCAACCACGTTAATTTCAAAGCAATTGGTACAGTAGTTAATGAGAAAAATGACTTCTTCAAAACAACAACAAGAAAGAACCAACAAGAACAAGACCTATTTTGCGTTTGTGGTCTCATAAATTGAAGACAGTCAAGAATCCCAACGTTTAAATTATCTAGCCGCTGTCTGGCAAGTGTTACAAATAAGTTTGGGAATTTTACGGATTTCTTGAATCGCGTAGTTTTGGGGGGTTCATCGCAAAAATACCCAGTCCCTAAGATGTTTGTCCCCCTACATATTACTGACGCGGTGTTTTTTTGCCCATAGTTGGCGCGGTAAATCCAATTTCTAGCGGGATCACTATTTAGCAAGCACGACTTTTGAATCTCCGGTGGCACGCAAACATAGATTGCTCCGATTTTTTTTTTGATTCGTCTTTAGTGTTCAGCTTTTTTGTGACTTCAACCACCTCACCACACGTCGGAATGCGAGCCTCCACCTTGAAGGATTTTTTTTATGCTTATGAAGCTCACCATCTTGTTTCGAGATGAATTCCTCAATTTCTTTAGGAAATTCATTTATGACATGCGACTTCATTTATGACATGTGAGTTACTGATAAAACGAGTTTTTTTTTTTGTGTGTGTGTGTGACAACTCAGCGAACTGACTGAGTGATTGATTCTATGTCTTCTCTAATTTGTGTGTCTGGAGCACTCATTGCAATAAAAAGACACATTCAATCACGGTAAAATTAGCTCCCTCTTGACCAGACAACATGCTGCTGGTCTTTGAAAATCCCGCCATATACGAGTTTCGTCAATTTTGCTTCAGATTATCAAAATTAAATCGAAAAATTGACATAATTTTGAGTTTTTGTTTAATTTATTCTACTTTGCTTACAATCTTTAGAACTATATCTTCAAGTTGAAGTAATAAAATCAACACTCTCTTGACCGGAAGACCATGCGGCTGGGATTTGAAAATCACCAAAATTGCCATATGCGAGCCGCGTCAGTTTCACGTCAGAATACCAAATATCAATCAAAAAATTGACATAATTCCAATTTTTTATTCAAATTGATTCACATTTTTTTACTATTTTCATGACTATACCTTCAATTTGAAATGATAAAATCAGATCCCTCCTAGACAGACATCATGATGCTGAGGCTTGAAAATCACAAAAATCGCCACGTGCGAGATACGTCAATTTTGAGTGAGAATACCGAAATTCAACCGAAAAATTAACATAATTATTAGTTTTTGTTGAAAATGATTCACATTTAATTACTATTTTTATGACTATATCTTCAATTTAGAACAATAAAATCTCTCTTAAACAGGACACCATGCTGCTGGGCTTTGAAAATTCCCTGAATTGTCTTATGGTGGTTACGTCATTTTGCAAAATTCAGTCGAAAAATTGTCATAATTCTAAAACATTATTGAAATTCATTCGCTTAAATTTACAATTTTGTAAATTTAATATATAAAGAGTATTTTTATTTCCTCAATATTGCTTGAGATGAGTCTACTCGAATCATATATGCAAGAACAAATCACGATCAATGAACGAAAGCGATATTTAATCAAATTAGGTCTTTTAGGTGTGCAGTATTGCAGTTATTCTTGTAATCTAATTAAGACCTATATATTGCCCGATTTAAATAATACTTGCTGCTGATGTTTCTGATTTGATATTAATATGAAATATCCCATAACTTGGGCAGCAGGTTGTAGGGATGACTTTTTGCTTAGTTTGGTGATTTAAATTAAAATGATACAAACATTTCATTCTTATTTGACCTTTAATTTATTAATTCTCATGCATAACAACATTTATAATATGTTTATACGCCAAATTATTTTAGAAGTTAGGTTTAAGGAGCATCGATATCAGAAATTCACCCCGGGCAGCAGAACAGTTTGACACGACCCTGTTCATAACCCCTTTCTACAGACCGATTTTAGAATTGATATCGATTTATATATTTTATCAAATTTTATATCCCCTGGAGTTATGCGTAGCCTTTGCATTTCTCTCTTTTTCATATATGGATCAGGATATTTATGCTTCTATTTCACTTTGCCAATAGCTTCAGGTATCAGATCATAAGTGCAATACCTATTGATCTCTATGTGATGGTAGTGCCAATAATGATCTATGGAGTGCCAGGTCAAAATAAATTTATACGATCAGCCTGGTTTGAGCATATTTGCTCGTAATGCTTTGCTTTTTTACCGAGCATATGGTGAAATATGAAAGAGTTTGAAAGCCATATTTTCGTTCCCCTGACATTGTGCCGATATACAGTCATTTTTGAATCTCTCCGTTGAACTAATTGTGTTCGGTAACCATATAGATTTTTTAATGTATAATGATATGTGGTCCAATATAATAGAGTGAACGTTTTAATTTTGAATGAAATCGAGCTTGGGCCGTATGAAATTTCAACCAACATCAAACGCGGAAATAATCTGTACATCATGACGTCACGTAAAGCGGACGCAGGAGATAATGATTCATTTACATTAAAAAGCAGTTCAAAAGAATAGGTAAATTCCCAGTATATCAAGTATAGATATTCTTGCGGAAGTATTGTCGCATAGACTATAGGATTATATTTCGTGTAAATATTCCCACCACGGCAACCGTGCTGTTTTATTTAATGAATATTATTATCAGGGGCTGGAGTCATTGGGTGTTCACAGTATTCATTTTTAACAGTATAGGCTGTAGTATGCAATAGAGCACAAAGAATATTGTTATGTTCTGTACACAGGATTTCAGGTGCTTTATTATAATGAAGCGAATAGATTTATGGGGCTTTGTGAAGTATATTGGAGGAAGAAGGAAAGGTTTGATAATAATAAGAACGAACACTGTCGCCACCAAAGTATCAACAACATCAGCTTTAAATTGGAAAGTTGAATATAGCACAATTTCGCCAAAATATTCAGACGTTGTAGCACGATTTTCGGCGCTCCAGACGTGTGTGTACCAATATGGAGGTAACTTATTTTGTTCGCTTACTTTACATCAAGTTGTGTAAAGGGACTGAAGCCTATGAACATGGGGTATATTCACTTGGCTGACACAGACAGTCCCCGAACTCGTGATAGAACTAAAAGAAGGAAAATCGGAATAAAATTATGCCCTAACCTGGTACACACACTACGGGAGTAACTGATTTTCTACCTGCGATATTTGGTTTTGAGGTAAAAAGTGGAACTCATTAATTAACCTCATTCACTTGCAGCAAATATGTAGAGTCATTATAGCTTACTCGACTAAAATAATTATTTAAGGTCAATGTGTTTGAATCGTAGTTGCACAAGACGTAAATCACCCAACTATGACGTCAAAATTAAATCCTTACGAGCGGTTCGATGGGGAATCTTCAAACAATCCTCCACCCGTGGTCTCAACACGATCGGCAACATCCTACCAAAGAAATCCAAGGGAAGATTATCAATTTCATTTACACAAATTCGGAATAGTTGAAGTGGTGATAGGAGTGGTAATTTCTGGTTTGTGCATCGGGAGTCTCATAATTCAAACATCTTCTGACCGGAAACAATATAATTCATCAAACACGAATACAGCATGTATATCACCAGGACTGTGGTGCGGTGTATTTTTATTTTTCAGTGGAATACTTGGCATAAAAGCAAAAAACAACCTTGCCCTAAGCATGTATATTGCGAATTTAATAGTCAGCCTCATAGGTGTCGTAATGATGGGCGTTTTAATTGGTGTATCGGCCTGGTGCTCATTGCACACCAATAGTGAAGATTTCTATATCACAGCGATTCACAATACGAACTCGGTTCTGGCATTTGCAGCATTGGTTGTATGTCTGATTCATTCGCTTTACTGCGTTATTAGAATATGTTGTTCTGCCGGTCAATCTGATTCCGAGCAACCCCAGAGATTTTCTCAACTTGCAACTGGACAATACATGAACATACCAGAAAATACTCCGCCAAATGTCGAACGAACCTGATTTTGAAGCTGGGTTTACGATACTTTTGGACCAGTGTTCTTTAAACTTTTTCATCCTGACCCACAACACGGCCAAATTTTTTGGCGACACCCAGAAACTAAAATATAAGAAAGTTAATTCAATAATATTCTCACACGAAAGATCGAATTTTGGTTTTCCAAATGTTTCAAAATTGATCAATATTTTGCTCTAACATAAGTTAGTGTCGTAAAAGATTTCACAGCCCTATTGAGCTCTTTCACGCGGTTGGGACCTCAGTTTGAAGAGCCCTGCTTTAAACAAATGTTTAATGACCTTAAAGTGATATAGTAAATCTTAATTCTAAAAGGGTTGCAAAATATAAATATAAAGCAAATCAAAGCTTTTTTTGTTTACTAATCTGTACACAATTTATAAACGTGAATTTTTCTATTTTTGTTTATTATTTGACACATTTATATATAGCTCAGTTTGAAAATAGTATCGAGTTATATTTTCCATGTTATTCAAGGTATTATAATAATTTAAAGGACAATGCTAAAATATGAGAACAAAAAATTGATACCGTTAATGTGCGCCATTTGTTGCCGTCAAATGCGATAAGAGGAAAACCACACTGGGTCGCATTTATCAAAAATGTTTAGAATAACTGTGGAGCTAAGATAAATAAAATAAATGAATTGCCATTCTAACAAACACTTTCGATTTCAATTACCGGAAATTTGATTGAATTGCTCTATTACTCTGAGAAAACTGTATTTTCATGCTCTAATTATGACAAGAGAACAGTCGGTTGCTGAGAAAGAGTTCGCCGAAGTAAATCAGCGAAAAATCCAAATAGTAGAGCAATATTTCCAAAAGCTAAATATGTGGGCAGTAACTCGAACCAAACTAGGAGCTGTTTGAGAGATGGAGTATTCATCGCAAATACTGATCGTAAATCATGAAAAAAATATTTAAGGGTAAGCCATCGACCTACAAATAAATAAAATTTAAATTTCCGAAATTATTTGCTAGTGCATTCTTAGTTCGATTGGTTCGACAAGCAAATGCCTTAAATGTATCACGACGTGCGAAAAAGGTAAGCTAGTCGCATTAGATATTGCTAATGGCTCATATGAATTATGTACGATATATCTCGATGATAAGTTAGAATTATTAAAAACCATGAAAGTTACAGTTTGTGAGCATGTGAAGTTGACAAATATACGATTTCTACAACAATCAATATTTTCGATTGTCCGTGCTCGTTAAAGAAATGAGATAGCGCTACGGAAGTGTTCCAGGATAGACATTTGTAGGTTGAATCCTCATGTATTGACAAATAGCGTGTAAAAAGCTAATATAAACCGATAAACAACGGAAACAACAATAACAGTGACAAGAGCGCGATTCGAAAGTCAGCACGAAGAAGTATCAAATCTTTACAGTACCGGTAGTTTTCTTTATCAATAAACTACTGACTTCGCTGACCGCCAGATCGCTGGAATGCGATCGTAGAACCGCCGAATGTTATGATGACGTCATTACACAAAGCTTCAAAGTGAAAAACGAAGCCAACAGAGCCCACAGAAATGATTGAAATGAATAATAATACTAATAGCCTTCTAGGGCAGATTGCAACGCAATGAGTTTAGTAGTGTACGAGAAAAGCATTTTTTCACAACAACAATATTGACAGCAACAAGAATACTAACAACAACAAAAAATTAACAAAACGATCAATAGGTCCACTTCGTGTATTTCAATTCAAAAACTTGAGGGCACTATTTTATAGCAAAAATATCGGCCAGACTTGGCTCAACAACAAGCGTGAAAGGATGGATTTAAGGACAACACATTGTTGATAATCAGATTGCAATTATTAAACTGGGCATACGTAAGTGACCTCACATATGTACCAAATACTTCCGGTATCATGCAATTGTGCAGAATTTATATCCAATTATATCATTCATAAGCTAATTAGTGTCAAAAGTAGTTTTGAGCTATCGTAGCACAATATTCTCTGAGAATTCAAACTACAATGAAATTCGAGTTTGCAATAATTGAGCAGTAAGGTATAGAAATATTCGTTTAAATATCGTTAACTATAATAGAAGAATACAAATAAGATATTTATCAATGGGCTCCTGTAGAGATCTTATTTTCCCTTTGTACTGGCGACACCTAGCGTAATAGGTAAATTTATAAGAAACATTATTATTCTAAGTGATTCCAGTGTCATACACGCACTATCACAAATAAAAAAAAATTATACATAAATATATTTGTGTTTGTGTGTAGCAAGACTCTCGAATCGCTTGGAATGGATATCTTCACCATTACTACAGCATCCTTGCATTTTATGCCTACGGGTTCACTGACACAAACGCATGGAGAAAGGATAAATAGTTGGTTCTCGCAGAAACCCAATTCATTAGTTGGTTTATTAGTTATTTAGAAGTTTTTAGTAAGTTTATTAGTTGTGCTTCTGAATATTATTTTATAGTTGAATAGAGATATCTGCAAAATTGTCCATATCTATGAAATTAGGTTTTATTGTGTAGAGCAGTTGAGGGCAAGGTTTTTGAAGCAAGGGCCAAAAAATTTGCACATTTAGACTGGCGGGCAATCTAAGTGTTACGCAAAAAGTTACATATTATGAAGAATATTTACTATGTTACAAAAGCAAAAGTGGAAAACTATAATCCTTGCGTGAAATCTCAACAAATTTCGTGAGCTATTTTTCAGCTAAGATTTCAAAATTTGGGTTTAGTCTGGTTGCGGCAGCATCAGCAATTTAGAGAACTTGATGGTTCTGAGTATAAAAGATTCTCATCCGCCCGAACTACCCGCAGTTATTAAACGAGAGTTGGGAAGCACGGACTATATCATTTGTGAAAAGAGGGCAGTTCCTTACTATATGGACATCAAGGCCCAATAACTAATCGAAGTACCTATCGTCTACGCAACTTTCACTGAAATGTGGCGTAATACAGAATTCGCGAAATCAAAACAAATGCTAGTCGTGACAGTCACGCTTGACGGAATAAAAAAGTGTTTGGGTAAAATATCGGATCTCCCAGGACAAGGAAAAATAAAATAAAAAACTACTACCCCATACTTAAGTACTCAAAGTTTAAAATCGATCTGTACGTTGGTCACGGAGAATTGGCGATTTTTCCCACCAAATGGTCGCCCCAGCAACAACAATTTGGCTAACAAGCCAACTACTCGATTTACTATAACTTGATCACAGACTGAGCATTCGTGCGCGCATAATTGTTAGTGTGGCATAGAATTTTAGCGAAGGTTAACTGTGCATGATGTATCACGTTAAAATGATATCACAATATCTTGTGCTGATTTGAGTTGATCTGAATTTGGCTTGAACTTTTGAACGATGACAGTATAATCATTATTTCATTCTGAAAATGTAATAAATTAAAAGAATTTATATATTTTTTTCTTTCAGTGGTAATGGATAAAAACGTACTGTGCGCGAAAAGAATATTACTATGCAGGGGCTCCGTGTTTAATTGGTGGTGCAATTAGATTTCATTTTCAAAAATTCATTTTTTGTTCAAATATCATATAATAAATAATATAATAAAATGTAATAGAAGAAAAGGTATGTGTACCAGGTTAGGGTTAGGCCATAATTGTATTCCGATTTCCTCATTTTAGTTCTATTACGAGTTCGGGGACTGTATGTGTTAAACAAGTAAATATCCCTCTGCTCGCAGGTTTCAGTCCCTCACCATAATTTGATGTAAAATAGGCGAACAAAATTAGTTACCTCCTTATTGGTACACACACATACTTCTGGAGCGTCAAGTAATATAACATGCAGACATTATTTCCATGAAATTAGAGCTTTATTTTTCTACATATCTGTTTACAATGTAGGTGCCAATTATTTTCTGGTTCTGGAACAATCATTTGTCCCTTTAACTTGTAATTTCAATGACGTTATTGCTTCCGTAACGCATCACAATTGACTGTACAAGCTAATCACGGTATAGCTACGTGATGCGTTTTCCTCGGCGTCTAAGTTCCCTTCAATTACATTTTACTATTCTATCACGGCGTGACTACATAGTCACCAGTTCATCTGAAAACCAATTACTAATTAGCTTCAGAATATTACTCAATACCTTTATTTTACGTGTAACAAATCGCAACTTCATATACATCAGTGGTTGAATTCAAAATTTTATGAACAGGTTCTCTTTTGTATTAAACTCACTAATAAATTATTAGCTCTTTCAGACAATGTGATTGTCTTTACGTGAGTCACATTAATATGGCACGTTTTACATAAATCAATACATAACTTTCGAAGCATCAAATATAACGGTAGTTGTCAGCTGCGGCGGCCCTTAACCATTTGCTACGCCCGTCTAACGTCTAAAAACAACGTGTTCTCTGATTACCACGACATTCAGGAACGGCCTTGTGCGAGCTCATGTAAACCCCATGAAACCCACCACTGGTTTTCACCGGTTCTGCTGAAAACCTGGATCTTTTGTATAAAGCCCCCGCCAAATAAACATCCCCGCCTACGCTCGAAATAAAAAAAATTAATAATTATCCAGTTAGGTTTTGGGTTAGGGTTAGGAATGCGGATGGCACTGAAAATTCAAATTTCAAAATCATTGTTAACACCAACTGGATAATTACTAATTTGGTATTTAAAAACGTAGCGGGGGTGTGTTTTCCTCAATTTGGGGGCGGGAGCTTTGTATAAAAGATCCGGAAACCTTTGACTTATTAGCTTCAGAATATTATTCAAAACCTACATCTTACGTGTAACCAGACGACCCTTCACGCATATGCAGTGTCACTTGTCACCGCTAAATTTCTAACGGCTCTTTTTCCAAGACATTAGGAAATAACGAAAGTGGGACAAAGGTGACAATGATGATTAGGTTACGTTAGTTTGCAATTGAGTTTTAATAATTTTATTGGATAATAGGATCTGAAAATCGAGCGTCATAAATTTATTTTTACAAAACACTTTCTAAATTAATCTTAAATAACTGGTTTTGATAGGGTCCAAGGTACATTGTTATATAAGGTGTTTTCGCTTTCGTTCTGCAATGAGTTTCTGGGCAGAATTTTCATTACCACGCGCACTTTCTAATATTACACACTTACCTTCCGTGAGCACCCACGGAATGTAGTTTTCTGTGATTCATGGTTAGACTGAGGTATCAAGAAGGAGGCTCTGACGTGACTCGGTTGATCTACATCGTTACAGGAAGCAACTACATATGAGGTAATAACCGTTACATTGTGTGGGAATATTAGAACGCGCGATTTAAACCATGTGTTGCTTGTCCTGAAGCTCAGTGTAAATGTCTGTCTCGTGGTGGTAGTGTCTGAGTTCGTTCGATTCGAATTAGGGAATTTTAATATACCTGAGGTAAACAACTCTATAAATGAGGTTTTAGTACCTCAAAATAGGCGTGAATGCTACGTTTTTATATATTTATAAATGACGAATTTATTAATTAAAATAATTTCATCGTGCTTGCAAATATGAGCACAATTGCTTAAGAACGGCGTTTCAAACATAGTTTATGACATTTCTAGGACAAGATAATCACAGAGATTTTATTATATGACCAATTTTATCTTATTATTAGACACGTAGTGGACATAACGATCGTTTCAAAATTTTGTTGTTATTGTTATTATTATTATTTGTCTCCATCATTTTTTTTTTTTAAATCGCTTTTCTCTTTGACTATTGGGCCAATTGCTTTGAAATTTTCAGTGAGTAAAGATTGATTTTTTTGCCAGAAGGCTATTACTTTTATTTATTTCTAAATTTCGCATGAAATCTGATATTTCGTCTAAAATTTCGCTGTATTATTTTATCCATGGGAACACTGGCTGTCCGGTTTGATTCTGTAAATTATTTCTACGCGAAACTCGGAATTTGTTTGTGGGTACCGGTGGCGTCAAAGGTAAATACTGCTTCGCTCTGGTTAACGTGTCCATATATTTGAGCACAGCTCTCTTGTTGGATTTTTTTATCCTAAATCAAGAATTTTGAAAATTTTGTCGAATGTTTTCTACCAGAAGTTGCAATGACCACACTGGCGGAAAACGGTTTGATTATATGTTTCGGAAAGTTTGAGCGTATCTCAGTTCTAATACAGTATTTCTCTTTAAAGCGAAACTTTCGAACAAAAGCAGCATCGTTTGTGTAATCGTTAGAGCATATTCGGTGTCATAAAAATTGATATCGTTTTGACAGTTTAATTCCTACATTTCATAACTAAACAATGGCAACCGAAGCATCTGGAATGTGGGATTCAACGACTACTTTGGATCCAGGCCCTCATCCCGTAATTATCACTACGACAAAGCACTGGTGGATCCCGCAAGTAGAAATTCCTTTCCTGATATTGATAATACTGGTTGGTTTGATTGGAAACATCAGCATCATCGGCGCGATTGTCCTTGAAAAGAAATTGAAGGTTAAAATTTTATTTTTACATTCATAGTTAATTACAAAATCTTTGCAAAGTGGAATGGGAATGAGATAAGAATAGGCTATATATAATAGAGAAGGATATTATTGCTTATTCGTTCTCGAATTATAGATCTTGTACCGCCGGTTTTAGATGTGTATAATTTCCATCAAGTTTGAGCTCTTGCTGGACATCGGACATGAAGAAAATATTCGTTTTATAAGAATAAATTGTGTTTACTGATATTGGGACAATCACGGACGTATATAATATTATATTCTTATTCACATACGTAATAAATTGATATAAATTCGTCAAAATTTGATGAAATCATCAAATTGTGAATTACTCGGCCTTATTTCCATTCGTGAACCTAATGTCATGATTTTATTTTAGTTTGTCGGAAATGCATTCATCGTGAATCTTGCAGTCGCTGATTTAATAGTGACTGCTTATGTTGTACCGGGGATTCTCGCCAACGAAATCGCAGACAAGAATCTGTTCTCGCTCGGAGCCTGCAATTTCACTGCACTTATTGTCTCTGTCAGTTGCTTGGCTTCGATGTACAGTCTTATGTGCGTCGCGATTAACAGGTATTGCAATTAAATGTATCATAAATATGTTTTAGTGTGAATAATCGTAAAATCAGATAAAAAATAGTTTTCTATTTATGCACTAATAAGTTTTATATAAATGTAAGCGAAAATTGCAATATAAGGTAACTGAAATTATTTTTATTGATTAAACTGCTTTATATGAATCGTCCATTCTGAAATCACAGGAGTGCATAGCGTAATTGACGCGATTATAGCACTTGTTAGAGTGTAAATTGTTGTACAATTGCAGATACATTGCCGTGGCGCACAGCAACTGGTATACCGACATATTTACAAGGAAAAAGGTTGCAATTTTCATTGGAATCGTTTGGATCTGGTAAGCTTCATATTGTAACTCATTTCAAATCATAAAAAGCGCTTTATTCTTTTTTATTAAAGTGTTTACAGATTTGTGAAAACTTTTTTCTTCAACTTTTCACCGAGCAATTAGAGGCTATAGTCATCAGGCGCTCGTATATGATTCAACATGGTTATTACTCAATACAAAGTCAAAGGATGTCAGTTAACAATGTATAGACAGACTATTCATATTCTTGAATAATATTGATCGACAGCAGTCGGTCATACCTAAGTCAACGCCAACCACAAGAAAGATAGATACATGCATACATAATGTACGAGAAATAACAGTATACTGTCATCCCACAATAACATAGCATATTTATCCACGATGCTAACATAATAAAACATTATTACCATTTAAAAAAAAAATAAAACAATGCGTATATTTCAGCTGAAGTATATTGAATTAATCAGTCTTAAATCAATATTTTAATGACTAATTTAGTATGTTACGATTTATCAAATGAATACTGGGTGTAGTGCTAATAGTGGCATATATATCAATTTACAGTTAACAGATTGGATGACCCTGAATTCAAAATAAGCCGTAGATTGCTAAGTTATTGGAATAGAATAGGATTTACAGATTTATCCTGGGGGAAAGGAATGCCCATAACACGGCTTAGTTATATGGCAAAACACGGCCCCTCGTCCGGTTACCAGTCCATGTAGGGTATGGGATTAGTTAGCCAGTTATTTGTTTCCAGAAGCAGGAACCTGATTCATCGCTACTCGTTATTATATTATGTTTGCAAGTTTGGCCGTAAACGGTGAGTTCGACTTTTTCAAGATCAGCAAAACAACATATCACGATTTTTGTCACCTGCAGCATGTTTTTACAGTCGCGTATGCAAATTTTGCCGCACCCTCGTGAATAATCATTTCTTACTGAATATTGTTTACTATTTTTGACTGAGCACAATACAGACGATGTTTTCGACTTTCGTCCTGTTTAGTCTTTGGGACAATAGGTAGACGGTATTACTGCAAATGAACAATTTCTGTTGCACCCGAAAGTAAAACTATATTTAGCAATCGTAGGTTTCGCGTACGTGCAGACCACCACAGCAAAAGTAATTGCTGATGAAGAATAATGTCAAGTTGCTTAAAATAATCCGCCTACTTGAAACTATAAGTTTACTAACCAAATGACTCAGTTACAACACGGCATAAACGTTGCAATGCTATCAAGCGTCCTACTGTAGAAATCCGAAACAACACTATTGTAAAGGCAGAAAAGAGATTTTGTTGTGAACAAATGAATTCTACAACCATTTAAACATAGTCACCATAACTAGCGATCGTAAATGAGGACAAAATTGAAAATATTTCAAAATATTTCGTCGACTTAAAAACATAAGTTGACTAATTAAATGACTCAATCAAAAAACCTTAAACTACTAGCACCGTACGAAAGATATCTAGAAGAAATAATATTGGATAACAATATTGTCAAGAAACGATAAACGATTCTGTGAAATATGACATCTACAAACTTGCATATATAATCGCCAAGGCCAGTGGTCCTGAATTAGGAAAAACTTGAGATTACATTCAAAGTATTGTGAAATAAGTATGCGTTTATATCCAATTAAATGTGTTTGTCATCCCATAATTTTCACTTTTTTCGTCATTATTCGTTTGTCAAGTTATGCCATTAACATAATTTACAAACTTCAATCATACAACGACAAAAATATTTGTAATTGATTTTTGTAATTGATATAATGTATAATATAACAAAATTATATATTTTCAGGTCATTCGTTTTGTCGATTCCACCAGCTTTTGGTTGGGGTGATTACAAGTATCATGGAAAAATACATATCTGCATGTACGACTGTAACACAAAGTAAGTCTCCTAAATTTCATTCATTTTTGCTTCGCTTTCCAAAATTATAAAGAGCTCGCTCAAAACAAGGATGATACTTAATGCGACGAACCGAAAATGTACCAAATAGTTTTACATGTAATTTATTCAGTTCCACTACTCTACTGCGTATAACATAAGTTTTTGATTTTTTAATTAAATTCTTCTTATCCTTGTATTCAAATTTTTTTTAGGTTCTTCGCCTACACAACAACTTTCATATCTCTATCTATATTTGTACCATTCACGATTACATGTCTCTGCTATCTTGGAGTTTATCTCGTATTCAACAAAAACAGGCAAGAACTTGAATTTATTTAATATTTACTATACACGAAATGTACATATGGATCGTTTAGTTATAATGTTGTTGTTGTTTTCTTCTTTGTTATGAAAAAAATGCTTTTCTTATTAACTACTGGACCAATTGCTTTGAAATTGTCAGTGGTTGAAGATTGTATTTATTGCTAAAAGATGTTACTTTTATTTATTTAAAAATATACTGTGGGTTTTATGGGATTAGTTTATTGTGTTCGATGACGTCATCAAAAACTGCGCATCTTGTGGCAGTTTCGCGTTCGCGTTAGTCGTGAAACACTGCGGTACCAGATTGCATAGCCGTACTACTCGTTAGCTTTCGTGCCCATAGATTTGAATATCGCTCTCTTTTTCGTATATATATTCTTAACACTCTACGTTAAACAAAGCCTAGAAAAGTGTATTCTTTTTAGCTGACGTCTGCAGAAGCGTTTTACAGTAGACAACCCTGATATTAATGTCCATTCCAATATTTCTAGATCTCGAGTTCGCAGCATGTCTAATGGAGACAGGAAACGCAGTGGAACCACAATGTCAACTACTGAAACCGGGACCGAAATCAAAAGAAATAAATCGTAAGTGTTTACGTATGATGAATGGGCCTTGACTTATTTTGAGCAAAATGCTGGTGAGCTTAAACAAATAAACAGAAAACCATAATAAAAGTTGTCATGTTATCCGGATTTTTCAAACTTTTAATATATAGACCCCTACCAAGTTTTCAATATAACTGACTGCTGCTAAAATCAGGAGAATTATTCAGAATCTGCACTTTGGTGTGTTCATGATTAGTGTAATCCCCTTTACGGTATGAATTCTTCCTATCTATTGGATATATTTAAAACCACAAACGATTTGTGACTTACATGAAAAATATCTCTAAATATTCTATGACTCGCAATATATGAGTTGTAAGAGTTGTGTCATGTCAGTTATGCGACACTTATATTATTTGTGACACATGAACCGAAAGACGTTTATTTTACTTTAAGAAAATAGCAATATGAATATGCTCGTGACATTAAGTCATCTAAATTTCCCGGTACAGTTTGCATGCTAGTTTTTTTACATTTTAGGAGAAAGTCAACAAAAAGAGAAAACAACGAAAAACGTCTTGTGGTGACATTGTTTGCTGCTGTCGTTCTGTTCACCATATGTTGGGTTCCGTACGCTCTTATTATTTTGATAAACCATGATGCTCCTGCTATATACAAACGAAGTGCTGCATGGCTTGCTTTTACCAACAGGTAAAGTAATTCTGAATGCATACGGTAGCTCCGCTACAATCACAATAATAACTAACACATTTTAAAAGTGGTTGGATACATACGCATAGGATTTTTAGATTCGTGAATTATTTTCGTACGTATTACTTTTGGTGTTCCAAAAGGGTGTGTACCAATATGAAGGGAACTGATTTTGTTTGCCTAATTTACATCAAGTTATGTAAAAGAACTGAAAACCCAAGAAAAAGGGGATATTCTTTTGGCTAACACAGACAGTTCCCGAACTCGCAATAAAACTAAAATAAGGAAAATCAAAATAAAATTATTGGCTAACCCTAACCTGGTACACACACTACGAAATACCTTACCTTCAGGTAATCATGCAGGCATGTATACTACCATAGTACATCCTCACACTATTCTATCTATATTTACCGGTACATGCACATACTCATCTACCCAGTCCATATCGATGAGCTTTCCCATAAAGTAATAAAATATATCATCAAGTTCTAATCTCATCTGATCTTCTAAATTTTATAGTGCGATGAACAGCATACTATACGGCTTGTTGAATCGTAACTTCAGAACGGGATACAAAAAGATGTGGGCAAGAGTATTTTCATGCTGTTCCTGTATTTCAATCTCAAAGAAAATGCTTGGAGAAACATCGGCCACTAAATCAACATCGGTAATTACACGTATTTGAACTCAAATTCACTTTGTTTCATTTAACTCTTTCATGCTGTACACTTCGCAAGCTTACGTTCACCAAGTAGTTTTGTTGTGATGGATATACAATCGAACAAGCAGAATATACTAGCGGTCACATAAAAAATCTTATTTTGTTAGGAATAATTAATTGCGTCTTGAATTCACAAATTTTAAAAAATAAATCTAAAGAACTATTTTCATACAAATACATAATTGCATTTCATACAAATAAGACATTCCACAATTTAATGGTGATTTGGCAGCGTTCAAAAATTCGCTAAATATTCTAATTTTTTTTTATCAACGACCCTATACATAGTATACAGTATACACTATTATCATCATTAACAGAGAAATTAGTTTCGGTTACTTCAGACAGATAAAAGCCGAAAACCGAAAAATATTTCCAAAATATTGCGATGAAAGCGGGCCAAACTTAACTTTAAATATTTTTATTTATGCAGTTTTATTCTTTGTCCAACCACCGAACTACAAAGATGAAATCAGGAATTGTCGTCGATTCCGCCATTCATTCAACTACCGACGTTTAAATAATGAAGCCACCGGAATTGACCGAAAAAGAATACTTTTTGTCAAAACTCATCGTTGAGGATTACTGGTTGTCATTGATTGGGAGTGTCAGCAAGCATTTTTCAAACCTTTTCAACTCCCCAGAGTCGGAGTAATTTAAGTTTTTTTTAAATTGTGAACATTTTGCCATTTGCTTATTTTTTATCTTATCATGCATATATCTAATTAGCTTCATTTGTTTTCTAGATTTTAATTACAATGATCGGATAAGCATGTTAATATACACTTGCATTTTAAATTTTATTATTAATAAATGAAATGTGTGAAAACATTTTGTTATCGACTTTCACAAAATATCTGGCACAATTGGTTGCATCAATCAACATTTATTTTCTATGAAAATTTTCTATGGGATTCGTTTTGTATGAAATAAAAATTGCGCACAGTCAGCGCAGTTGGGAGTTTGAAGGCTACCGATACTATAGAAAAGTTTTGAAACTCTCAGTAAATGTTATTTTCAGATGAGCTCTGAGCTGGTCAATTAAATGAATTGAAACTGAAACAATTTAATCTAAAATATTCTAAAAAAACTTATTCTATAATAACATAATAATATTCTATAAAATTTTTTTGTCTACTGAATCGATATAAAATGAAAATTCTTGCATATTTAAAACGAAAATTTCATCCATTAATATATATGATTGTTTGTAAAGAATATTAACCAGTTATCCCGGTAACTGTCAGGCTCATTGAATGCAAATCCCCTCAACAAGCATGGGTAAGTCTTTAAATTATTATCATAAGCTTCAACAAAATTTAAAAACAGCCTGTCTCTTGTATCGAACTCACTACCAAAAGCGTATAGGTATGAAAACTAAGATCGGGTTCGCTGATTAGCACGACATCTCGAAAAACGAGATCGCGAGAACTTGCGCAACTCCCTGAATCCCACTATATAATGTTCGAATTGGTTAAAACAAAATTTCAAATCGCCACTGTCTTGTTTTTTGTTTGTTCGGCAAAGGTCGAGGTAGATTATTTTATTGAAACCATAATTTTCAAATATAATTCTGACAAATTGCTCTTATCCTTCTTGGGAGTTATTGATGAAACGTGTTTCTTATTGCATGTGGCAACTCAGAAAACTGACTGAGAGACGGATTATATATTTTCAGTATGTGTTCGGAGTACTCATTACAATAAAAAACTCACATGCAAGTATATATCTCCCAAGTATTCGAAATTCGATTCTAGAAAAATATCATATTCGCTTCAGAAATCACCAGGTATTCAAAAATTCACATTCCTAATTGTGTAAAAATTTGCTTTGCTCATTCACGTGGTTTATATCTGGAGATAAGGTATTTTAATTCGCCCGTGGGGGTCTTCTGTTCTTGTTTTTTTTTAATGGAATTTTCCCATTGGCTGGTGTGTCTTATGATGCCTGAATGAGGAATCAAATTACCAAAACAAAACGAAACAAGGTATTTTTGTATTTACTTCATATTATATTTATTAATCAATGAAAAACATTTGTTGGGTTGTATACAAGGTATTCCTTCTCTTTGTATGGTGATGATCTTATTGATTCTGCAAAGTAAGAAAGATTTCCTTTTAATGGTTCCACCTAGATATAAAAGTAACTGAAAATAGAATATTTTTCCTTCTAGAAAAATGTATATTACTACTTGTTTCTGATAGCAGGAACAGAAAATTCGAATAATGTTTATTAACAATTGCAACAAAATTCTCTTACTTTTCAGTGCATGAACATTGTTTCGCGCTAATAACAAACACCTTCATAACATGTAGGGCCATAGTCAGGGTCGCAATGTTCGCACCAGTCGCAATCTTCGTCTGTCTCGCAACCTATAAAAAAGTTAAAAGCATAGTAAAGATTTTTGTTTTTATTTATTCTGATATGTGAGAATTTTAAATTTATAAACAACAAATTTTAGAATCGTTCAGTTAAATATCTTATTGCAATCTTGTGGTGATCAAAATATCTAACTTCCTTTTCAGCAAAAGCACGAAAACGATATTTCGCAAGTAGGTGAAAAGTTGTTGTTGGCATGTTTGTGATGGCAGTGCTATTTATCAGGAAATTATCAGCTATTTAATGTAGCAGCTATTTTCACTCGTCCTATTATAGTAAATATATTATTGTTTTATCGTTGAGTTGTAGACTGAACACATTGTTTAAATGTAGTAAATTTACACAGTACAAATTTGAGAAGTTCTAACCATAAGATGTTCCTATTAAAAACATCAATGCAACGGCCAACGCCAACAATGTTGAAAAAAGTTTTTCCATCGCTGTCGACAGGGTGTAGCTCCTTTAGCAAATATAATTAAAAGGATTGAAAAAGCAAAAGGTAATATTTTTATTCTGATCGAGTTACATTCTCTCGTTAAATTTCACCTGATTAGATTTTATTTTTTTTAGGGATATCAGTTTGAGATTAAAACAAAACTGTCGAGATTTATCAAACTTTATGTCATTTGGTACTGTTTCTATAGCTACAATGAAGCCAAAACTATAACTAAAAATTATTATGCGATTTGCAAAAAGAACTGCAGACAACTTGCACTGCGTAGCAGTATCGAAAAGCACGACTGGTACGCCTGTACTTTATATTGCAAATAGCGTGGAAAAAAATTCTACTTTGAATTTGAACGAGACGAAAATGCGTATATTGAAATTCTATCTCGCATTTCCGCGTTGCTGTTGTTCCGCTTCAAACAATGTCTGCTGTTTGCATATTTCAGCATCATTCCAAAGCTTCATAGACGTGTGAGTGCACCAAGTTAGCTTATCAAAGAACGTGATTCTTGAATAATAACATTTATAAAATATGAATAAATTTGTTTGCCAGAAAATTGAAAATGTTTTAGGATTATCTGAACAAAAGAATATTGAACTAATATATTATTGAGGAAGAAATTATTCAACAATTGGTGGTTTAAAGTTGAACCATCAATTAGAGTTCCTAATTAATTTTCAAACGGTCACATCAATCAAAAAACTCGTGAATGTGCTCAAATATAACTACCGGTAAATAACATTTTACCACAAATAAAGGATTTGAGCAAAACTTAAGTTCACCGCAAGTTGAATCAATTTCACTTTATTTTCTATGAAGTTTGTTTATGCGCACTCTGCATTAACTTTAAAGGAAACCAATATAACTAGAATTCGCGCATTAAAACGAAATTGCCAAACAAATTACATAAAAATGACAAAAACAACATATTTCTTCTATGAATTTAACTAGAGTGAACTATTGCTGTATCCGTGAAAATTATCCGAAAAAGGTTCATAACCTCAACAACTGAACTGTGGGGTAGTAATGTATGTATAAAATTAGTGATTATTTTACAAAAAGGTCGAGCAGCAACGTTATTATTGGAGTCATTCGAATTACGTTTGTTTCTATGGATAAGTGTAAAAAACTCCGCCCTCTTTGTGGTTCTTTTAACATCATATAATCATTGCTGTTATATATCAAGGCCATTTGGAAATTTTTTGATTAGAACCAAACTAGAACGTAAAACTAGATAATTAGATTTCACCTGACACTGAAAACTTTCATACAACGAAAAAAAAAATGATTGAACAAAACGCAGTCAATTGAATTCGTTTGGGTTAATTGTTGCCACCACAAATATATGTATCATTAAAAAAAACATCTTTATTCTATTAAAATGGTTTTAAAAAAGTTTCAAATTATACAAAAAGAATATAGGCTTGAAGCTAGCTAAAATCAGGCTAAGTTGTCTATTTTTCTGTTCGAATTTCAATCGTTATTGTGTCCTAAAAATGGACTAACGAGCGCTGTAATCATAAACCATTGCTGTGAAATCAAATGAAAAATCCATATGATATTCACTGCACCACGCTCTAGAACAGTCGTTCTTAAGCTTTTTTAGCCGCGCCCACTTCACCCAGTCTAGTTTCCTAGGGCAATTTTGTATGGTCTCCTTTGAATTTTTTCCTTATCGTCAACCATTAGGGCCTAAAACGTCACTCGTCGCTTATGCCATGCTAATGCTGAAATGCTCTTCCGCGAGATGCACTAAAGGACGCGCATATAATACTTTATTATTTAAGCGAAATTATGTCCGAAAAATTGTAAAAAACAACCTTGAACTTGAGTGGTATTGCATCTGGTAGAGGGTTAAGCATTAATTATAGCCAATTAATTTTAATTTCATCGTTTTCTTGTGTTATTTTCCGACTAAACAATACCAAAACCAATATCATAGCTAAATTAGTTACCTTGAAATTCCTAATTGTATTAACAGAATTTGCAAATTCAACACTTCACTTGACGAATTATAACGGTTCTTTAGCAAAATATATAGACGGACTTGATAAAACGTCCGGAAATAGTGAAATTGCTTCTATATATACATAAACATCCCGGGACTGGAACTAAGGAAAATATGATGAATTTACCTTGACCTATTTGTTAAAAACTGACGGCCAATTTGAAACAAATAAACGGAAAACAGTATTAAAACTGCTGCTAAAAAAGATACAATTTGGTGGTTTCATGATTAGTGTAATCCCCTTTACCGTATGAATTCTTCCTATCTATTGAAGATATTTAAAACTACAAACGATTTGTGACTTACATAATAATGCTTCTAAATATGCCATGAATCGCAATATATGAGTTGTAAGAGCTGTGTCATGTATTATTTGTGATATAAGAACCGAAAAACGTTTATTTTACTTTAAAAAATAGCAATATAAATATCCTCGTGAAGTCATCCAAATTTCCCGGTACAGTTTACATGCCAGTTTTTTACATTCAGGAGAAAGTCTACAAGAAGAGAAAACAACGAAAAACGTCTTGTGGTGACGTTGTTTGCTGCTGTCGTTCTGTTTACCATATGTTGGGTTCCGTACGCTCTTATTATTTTGATAAACCATGATGCTCCTGCTACATACACACGAAGTGCTGCGTGGCTTGCTTTTACCAATAGGTAAAGTAATTTTAAATAAATACAGTAGCTGTGCTACAATCACAATATTAAATACTAGGTACATGCCATCAATAACTCACATTGTTAACATTTTAAAAGTGGTGGGATACATACACAGGATTCTTAGATTCGTGAGTTATTTTATTACTAATTCTGTTCGCCTACTTTACATCAAGTTATGTAAAATGACTGAAACTGGAGTATATTCTCTTGGCTAACACAGACATTCCTCGAACTCGCGATAGAACCAAAATAAGGAAAATCGAAATAAAATTATGGTCTAACCCTAACCTGAAACACACACTACGGGAGTATCTTACTTTTAGGTAATCCTGCAAACATATACTATCATAGTACATTCACACACTATTCTACCTATATTTACCGGTACTTTCACTTACTCATCTACCCAGTTTATCGAAATAAATTCCTTTCGTTTCAATTAAGAATTTCATACTGTACAACGTTCAAGCATACTTGGTGATACCCTAACTTAAAAAACATAAATCACAATTTTAGGAACTATTTTCATATGAATACATAATTATATTTTCGTACAAATAAGACAGTTTAATGATAAACTGGCATGCAACGTTCAAATATTTGCCAAATCCATTTTTTCTATTATCAACGACCCTATACACGATTATCAGCATTAACACAAGATTGTGTATTTATTTCATATCAAGTTTAATACAGGCTCTCGTATTTTACGGTGATCTGCCATAGTGCGTCTTGGTGAAATTAGTTGTGGTCACTTCAGGAAGATAAAAGCAGAAAACGTTTTCCAGAATATTACGATGGAAGCGGGCCAAACTTACCTTAAAATACTTCAATCACCGAACTACAAAGATGAAACCAGGAATTGCCGTAGATTCTGCCATTCATTCAACTACCGACGTTTAAATCATGAAACTTACGGAATTCACTGGGAAGAATTGATTTTGTCGAAACTCATTGTTGTGGATTAGTAGTTGTCATTAATTTGAAGTGTTAGTGGGCATTTCAGCTCTCCAGAGACGGAGTCATTTAGGTTTCCAAAGTTGTGAACATTTTGCCTTTTGCTAATACCGTATCCTGTTATGCATATATATATATATATATCCTATTGGACCGAAATTAGATTTTTCTAAATTTTGATTACATTGAACGATGGTTGTGTAAACAACTCTTCATATAGTTATATATTGAATTTTGTAATTAATAAATGAAATGTATGTAAATTATTTTGTTCTCAGATCGGACGAATTAACGGATAAAATTGGTTGATTCGCCCAAGTAACTAACCTTCATCTAAGTATAAGTTTATTTCGACTCCATAATCAGCATAACAGTCAATAAAAATAAATAAGAAGTGAATATGGAATCAGGAGAGCAAATAAAATCTTAGACAAAGTTTAAAACGTACAGAATATAAGATGGGAAGTTTTGCTAAAAAGAAGTGGCACGTGTTCACTCACCTAAAATAACTACAAATATTTCACACACACGCCCTCATAAACTTAATCTTCTGTGAAAAGTTTGACATGTATTCAGCATAATCTGTTCAATATTGAGATAAATAAATGGTGTCACCTTTTACCATTTCTATCCCCACTCAATAACTTATTATTTAGAAAATGTCGCAAGTTAATATTGTATATAAGGAGATTATCCGGAAGCGATACGCGAAAAGTTTTACCTTCATTCCTGGCCGCATAAAGAATGATTTTTTTCATCTACATAGAAATAGAACAAATACCGGGTGAATTTATTAAAGTAGGATCCCAAGCATACAGTGCAAATTACACTCAACACAACCTCCTTCCCCAAAAATGAAGTTTCACGTCTTTTTTACTCTGTTACAAAATATTATATTTCAAACAAATCCGCGAAATGCAGAACAAGATGGGAGGCAAACCCCTAAAAGATATTATTGAATACATACATTACAAACTACGCAATTTTAAAACATCAACAGACTTTCTGCATTGTCTCTAGAATACAGACTAACTACCATATTTAAACAGCGATTAACAGGGATGGTTTTCAATAATGCAGCAGTCGGTATTAACAATTTGGCGCCAATTCGATATGCGTTTGAGTCGAATAATTCATATTTGTAATTTCATCACGCGTTACCATTTATCAACGCTTTTATTGCTTTTTTGCACAAACTTGGAAATATTTTGAAAAATAGGTTTTATTTTACATTGAACTCGCTTACAATAGATTAACATATTTCACAAATCCGTGCCAATCTAGAAAACAAAACAATTACGGGTTCGCTGATTATCACAACAATTCAAGAACGGATTCGCGTGAACCCTCTGAATCCCACCAAACATTGACAAACGATGATACTTTAAGATTCATTGAGGTTGGATTTTTAGTCAATTTTCCCCTAAATATCTCTCAATAAATGATCTTCTGTACTATCATTAACAACAATATTATATTTGTCAAACCTAAATAATCTCCATAAAACAGAACAAAACATGATATTTATTTCATTTTATTTTAATCGATTCCAAAATATATTTATATTGGTCTGTATGCAAACTATTCCTTCTCTGTGCATGCAATTGAGCTTGTTGAGTCTGAAAAATGAAATGAATTTTTGTGAATGGTTGTGAGAGATAAAAAATATATTTTCGGAAACAGGCGAATAAATATAAAAATGTAAGATATCAGTTATTACCACAAGTCACTCACTTACAATCTATTCCTCTTACATCTTTGCTCCAGCCTGCAATGTCCTACCAGCAAATTTTCAGCGCCCTACTTGTGTCACATATCAATGGGGGTAGACAGTCATCGTCTGACGTGCAAGCTGTTAATAAGTTGAATAAAATATTTTTGTATTAAGTTTCCAAACAGATATTTTAATAGAATCCTATGGTGGCCGAAAATATAAGCATAATTTGTAAGATGCATTAAAAAATTAAAAAAAAGCAGAAACTTGTATTGATTTTGTCATTTTGAAATATGACAATGTTTTCTCGCCATGCTGGTTATGCATTTTTACTGTATTTATTTATTAAGTACCAACCGTAAGATGTTCCTAAGAGAAACATCAATGCAATGGCCAACGCTAATAATATTGAAAGAAGATTTTCCATCTCTGTCGATAATGTAGCCTCAGTTATACTGTAAATGAAATTATGAAGAAATTTGAATATTTCACCCATCATAAAATGCACATAAAGTTGTATTTTTTATATTACTGTCCGTGCTGATAGATCTCATGAGATAGATTTTGAACATTTGTACTTTTCACACGAATAAAATACTGTAATGCATTTAGTGATATCATTTTGAAGCCAAAATAAAACTTCTTAATTCAGCAAAATTCAAACCACTTAGTATGCTACTTTACATTGCGAGTTGCTTTGCAATTTATCTTCCTGCTCACAACTTGACGACACAAGCGTAGCAATGACATACTGAAGCAGATGGCGGAACACCGGTGTTTTATAATGCGAATCACGTGAATTATTAACGTGAGAAAAACCTCATTGGTTTAAAAAAAATGACAATAAGGCCTTTATTAATTTCCTATTCTTTTATTTCACTCGTGTTTCATTTCAAATAATTTGAACCTTTTTCTTTTGCCTCTTTCAACACGATTACGAAGCTTTGATGACGTGAAAGTTTGTCCAGTTTGCTTAACAAAGATTTTAATTAGGTTTGTGAATCAATGTCATTTGAGAAATAAACTTAATTTGTTTACATTAAATTCCGACGAAATCATACTTTAAAGATTATCTGGCCAACAAAATCCGACCTGTCGTTTTTACATTCATAACAAAAAACGCAAAATAAATTTACATTTGTTTTTACCTGCAATTTATTGGACACGAATCGAACCTGAATGCTAGTGGTCTTATTACTTATCGATCTTGATTGGTAAGTATGTTCATAGGTATGTATCTGTTTGTTTGTCTGTTAGACACTTTCGTAGGATACGCGATATCTCACGAAAGTGAGATCGAAAATCTGCTCCAAATTTTGCATGTGCTTTCATCATATCTCGGGCCAGAAGTCTATTGATTTTGAATGAACTATGTCGTATAAATAGCGAGTTATTTTAAATAGTTAATTAATTAATTTTACATCATGAATTATGTCGCATAATTGGCGAGTTATTACTTATCGATCTTGATCGGTACAATACAAAAACAACTCGGTACAATACAAAAAGCGTGGACTGGGGTTGCCTGTGAGGATCAGACGACTCATTTAGAATATAGACAGGGATAAGTAGCACATAACTGTTAAATTATTGGAGAAGTTACAAATATTATTCATGCCAGTTCGCAGGAATAACCGGTGCTTTAAGAAACCCAAAAACGAAGTTTCCGTGTGAGGTTTTAGCATAAGTTTATTTCAGGGTACGTATTATTTTTGCACTGTGACTGCTTACCATAATTCTCTTCTTGTGGTTGAGAATTGCTTTCGGGAAATTTACACGGGGGAAACGATGGTTCACTCTAGTTAACATTTAAGAAAATAAAATGCTACTTTATTTCATTAATGCAATTTATCTGACAATTTCGTTTTATTGTGTGAATTTCAATTTCATTGGTTTCCTCTCGAAGGGTATGTGGAGGACGCATAAACATGATTCCTGGTTTGTTAACAGTTTATTAACAATATCTTCATACTTGCATTACTAACCAACAGTTCAGTTGTTAAGGTTATGAACCTTTTTCGGATAATTTACACGGATAAAGCAATAGTTCACCGTAGTTAAATTCAGAGAAGAAAAATGTTATTTCTGCCACATTTATTCAATTTTTTGGCAATTTCGCTTTAATCCGCGAATTCTAGTTTTATGCGCATAAACAAACTTCTTAGAAAAAAGAGTACAATTGTTCCAACTTGCTGTGAACTTAAGTTTTGCCTGAATCCTATGTTTGGGGCGAAAAGTTACCAAAACCAAGTTTTTTAAATTTTTTCTTCAATAATGTAGGTCAGATATTCTGAAATTATTTTCAATTTTCTGGAAAAAAAATCTAAGCATAAGTGAATGCCATGATTCCTAGTCCACTAACTGCGACATTACGCGGTCGTGATATTCTTCGGTGACATAACTTTCTATTGCCAAGGTAGATTTTCCAATGAAATATTTCACTTTAACCCTAGATCTAGCTTTAGCCCTAGTTTAAGTCTCAATTTTAGAAGGTAATGCATTCCGATGCAGTCCATGCACCAAATAAACAATTACCTTATTGTTTATTCAGTTTGTATACTTGTAACAAGTAACTAGGGAAACTAAAAACAAACATTTACCTTCACAAAACGGAGAGGATAAAATGGAATTTTTTTAACGTGCATGCGCAAGTACCAGAAATAGAATCCTTCAACAGATCATTTGTCAATTTTGTTTGTTTTAGCAAGATTGAGAAGCTTTCATACTAGTTTACAGATTAAGACATACATATTGAGAGCAGACTGTACGTATGAGAAATAATGGTTAAATTACAATCGCATTCTAAACGCATTGCTTTGAGGAATATTCGTTTCATCTTTTAGTTTTCACAATAAACTAATATCTAAGATAATCATGACCTAGTTTCGCTAGAACCAGTTTTCAAAACAAAGCTGTAACCTATGCGCATCGTCAATGGGTTTTATATAAGGGATAACTTGGAATCGAAAAACATTCCTTGTCTGTAGTTTATAAGGGGTAATACGTAGAGAATTGCCATGAGATAAATTGTAAGCCCTTAAATCTATAGCCAGCAAAATTAAACAGTGATTACCCAATACAAAACAGTGCAACGAACGACCATGGTGGACATTCGATTTATTAAACATAAAAAAAAAAACAGAGAAAGAATTCAATTTTGTTGATGAAACTCATTCTGCGAAATTGCCAGGTGGTCCAATTTGAGCTAAGCAGTGATTTGAGAGCAGACCCCAAAGATAGATATACAACGATTGTGATTTTGGGGACCGCTACTGCCCACACATGACGTACACTGCCAATGAATCGCGGTATAATAAAACTAGGTCTTTTACGATACTTTATTCGTGTATGTTTTCATAAAATCCAACGATACATGTATGTCAAACAAACATGAAAGCGTTCAATCTCATAATGCACCCTGCGTGAATACTTTTGCATGGTCTACTGGCCACAACCGCAAAGTATGCGACATGCAGACGCATGTCAAGTCTGCATGTCTATGTTTGCATTTCAGAGCAACAAGTTTCCGCAGAGCACTAAAACCTTGTATATTGAACCTGCGCATTTCTAGTTGTAATCATTATACAGGTTAGAACTGAAATACCGTTTCTAACTATGACTCCTCTGATTAATTATAAGTGAATTCCTCGTTAAGCATGGCAGTAAATTCTGGTTTATTTTTCGCTTGAGCATTTTTGGTTACGATCAATTTTATACGAATAAATATCGGAAATACAGGTTAGAAATAAATTACCCTTGCTAACTATAGTTTTCTAATTGATTTGTAAGTGAATTCGTCTGTATTTATAGTGAAGAGCGAAGCCATTTCTATTGAAATATTGCCAATGACTTTACTTGAACGCTATTGCGCCGTACTTGCCGTATACAAAATTGCCGGGCATTTGGTTTACTGGCCGCCGAATCCCTTCGGGGCATTGACTTTAGTTGTTACTTATCGATCTTAAGATCGGTAAGTATGTTGATAGGTATTTGTCTGTCTGTCTGTCTGTTTGTCTGTTTGTCTGTTTGTCTGTTTGTCTGTTTGTCTGTTTGTCTGTTTGTCTGTTTGTCTGTTTGTCTGTTTGTCTGTTTGTCTGTTTGTCTGTTTGTCTGTTTGTCTGTTTGTCTGTTTGTCTGTTTGTCTGTTTGTCTGTTTGTCTGTTTGTCTGTTTGTCTGTTTGTCTGTTTGTCTGTTTGTCTGTTTGTCTGTTTGTCTGTTTGTCTGTTTGTCTGTTTGTCTGTTTGTCTGTTTGTCTGTTTGTCTGTTTGTCTGTTTGTCTGTTTGTCTGTTTGTCTGTCTGTCTGTTAGATGGACGCGATATTTCACGAAGGCGAGGTTGAATCTGCTCCAAATTCTGCATGTACATTCATCATATCTCGGACCAGCAGCCTAGACCAGAGCTAATAATTAATTAGTGATGGGACACGCGGTGTAACTATAGAGTCATGAAGAGAGTTAAAGAGTTAAACGAAAATATTGGTCGGAGACCGATGACTTATCGACTCTGTAGTGACACCGCGTGTCCCTTCACTAATTAATTAATAGCTCCCTAATTGTACGACATAATTTGACCAGAATCAATAGGCATCTGGCCCTAGATATGATGAACGCACATGCAAATTTGGTGGAGATTAAACCTCGCGTTCTTGAGATATCGCGTGCATCTAACAGACAGACAGACAAACAGAAAAACAGCCAAATAGACAAATACTTGTCAACAGACTTACCGATCTTAAGATCAACAAGTAATAAGCGCAACTGTATGTTATGTATGTCGCGATTTGCGTACTAGAGAAGAGTATTATTCTAGTGTTTTATACCTGGCTCGTTATCAGATTTAGTACAGTACACCAGCCTGAGTGTTCTAATATGTTTCCTTTACTGATGACCGGGCCTTTATTGTGCACGGACTAAAATGATGTAATGTAACAAATTAGCTCGTTCTCTACACCAGGGGTGGGCAACCTGCGGCCCGCGGGCCAAATTCGGCCACCAAGGAAATTTGAGAAGTACCAATTTTTGAATGATGTGACCCACGAAACGAGTTGCAATTTAATTTATTACGTGGATTAAATTGTATTGAATTTAAAAGACAGATTTATCATCAAGCAATACCTTTGTCAGTTCTGTGGTTCATGATGAAACGCTCACTGTGTTTCAATATATGCATGCATTTATATCATAAAAACAAAATAAATATATAAATATTCGGTTGAACCGAAGACAAATTCAGTAAATACTTGGTTTAAATCTGCTTTACATATAGTATCATTCTAGGTTCCCATATAAGCCAAGATGCAAACGCAAAATCTCAATCCAGGTGTAAATTTGGAGATGATACTTTAATGAATGATTCATTTACCTACAGAGACTTCTTCATTAAAAATCACTCACTTTTCAAATTTAGACATATACAATATATATACAGCTACGAAATAATGTTAACAGTAATACTACTTGGTGTTGCCACATGTTTGGTTTTCCTTTACTTCAAATATGGCGGTCGTCCTAAGAATTTTCCGCCAGGACCAAGAGGCCTTCCTCTTGGTGAACGTTTTTACAAACTAAAAGAAAAGTACGGCCCTGTTGTGTTTGTACAAGTTGGGCGGGAATACTGTGTGATACTGAATGATTTCAACACGATTCACAATGTAAGTTAATTTCTTATAGGACCGTAATAACGGTGTTTGACATATTTTAATGGTATTTTAACTGGCTAATATTATTCGAAAATTTCAACAATGTCGTTACCTATTTGTCTACTTTTTCCACGGACCCTCGTTAGCACAGTAATCCAAACTATTTTCACAGTGTTATTTGTTAGGGTAGATATATATATTGTTAAACTAAGTTATACGTAAAAGAGGATCTTGGGAAAATCGTAACATAAAAATTCTACTCCTAATCAGAAACCCAAACTTATAAATGAAAAAAATGGTTTTCCAGGCATTGCTGAAAGAAGGGAAAATGTTCTCTGGGAGGCCGAGCAACTACATTTTTGAAATAATTACAAAAAAAAAAGGACTTGTAGGTGTTGATTATGGACCGGCGTGGAAAACGTTGCGAAAGTTCGGCAACCAGGCATTGAAAGGATAAGGGCAAGCAACTCATTTCGCATTTTTCTGTAAAAATCATGTTTGAGACGAACTAAATAAAATCAGCTACAGTAAAATAGATGAGATTTATCATTTGATTACACATTTGCACATAACTCATACTCATCATATTCATATTTTTTTCTTGCAGATTCGGAATCGTTAAGAAAAGTATGGGAGAACACATTATTGAAGAAACTCCTTTTTTGTTGGAAAGCCTAACCAGCTGGAAAAAAAACTATCCAGGTATAGCATTTACGTATTAAACCAAGTTCTTTTAACGACTTGGCCCTGAATAAAGCTTTATACCAACCACGGGCCAAATCCAGCCCGTTGGGTAATTCAATCTGGCCCGCCTGATGCTGCCACAACCAAACTGAAATCAAATTTTTATAATTAGCTAAAAATGGCTCAAGGAATTTGTTGCGATTGGGGTTAAATATAGTTTTGGCACGAAGCTTATTGTTTCACACCTTTGCTTAGTAACACTGTAAATATTGTTCATAAAATGTAATTTTTTACGTCACACTCGCATGGCCCGCCAGACTAGGGGGGCAAAAGTTTTGGCCCGTGGTTAAAAACCTTGCCCACCTCTGCTCTATACAAACACCGGAAACTTTGGTGTCATCCAAATTATCACACACTGGGTTATGTGATGTGCATGGAGTACGAACCCCAGTTTTTTAATGTTGACGTTTATTACTAGTCAACCTCTCCTTCTTGACTTGTTTATTGAATTTATTTAGGGGGAAAAAATCACACCGGAGCAAAGAGGCTTCGTATAAAAATACTTTATCAATTTCAATTCATTTTAAATAACGTACTAATTCCCCGAGTTCGGACAAAAATTACAGAAATGCAAAAATTGAAATTGTTAATAAATAAGACCTGTTTTCATAACACCATGTGAAATAAATTGGGTAGGAGATGCTGAAGCGAAAAGATTCAGGTCCTGAATAATAGAGGCTTCCTACATAACGTTAGATATCTAGATAGATGGCTACTTATATAGGACCTTGTTCGTGGCGAAATGCGTAGAGCCACATGCATAATACTTAATCACTTCAAAAATTCAATTCGTTTTTCAATGAGGTTTGGAGTATGTTCCCGTGTCCTTTGACTATAACAGTGGTTTTCCAAACTTTTTGAGCCGCGCCCCCTTTCTAGAATTGGTCTAGTCTCGCGGCCCAACTAAAAAATAGCTATACCTAACAATAAGTTGCAAATAACAGAAGAAAATAAGTGCCCCCCCCCCCCTAATTTTGAGGTGCGATTCCACACTGTAATTACTAACTCAAGTATAATTGTATTCAAATATAACGCCTATGGCATATTCATCAGTGTAGATGAAGGGTTCCAAAGCGCAGTCCGCGGGTCAATTACGGCCCGTGTGGCGATTTAAAATGGCCCGCCGAACTTGAGTGAAATAGTTTAACCCTTCATGTGGTATGTTTTGAGTTTTAGATACCGTCTATTGTTACATCATTATCACAGTTTAAGCACGTTTATTTCGTAACAATTAAATTATACCAGTATCTTATGTATACGTATGGGTATTAGGATTACACACTGCAGTATTTTAGATATCAGCCGTCTATTATAAAAGCTTAAAGATGTCACAAAACGAAAACTAGGCACAGAAAACAGACGTTTTTTAGATAAATGACAGCGTTTTTATTTCTTTATTGAAAAGAATCAACCTTCTGCGATTTGTCTTCTTACCAACAAAATATTTCAGTTCTGAAGGGATACAACATTATGCGCCATTATGATCAGTTGACGCGCGTATTTCAAAATTTAATTCATTGCATAATTCATACAAAAGTCAAACAAACATGTTCAAAAAAATGTGAAATGTGTAACAAAACAAGACATAAGTAGCCATTCATACAATGCCAGATGAGCAGGTAACTTCATTAGTCACTATCAGTTGCAAATTACTTGTTGAAACGTAGTAGTATATATTTACGGTTGAAAGCCGTGCTTGTTATCTATTTCCCGGGAGTTCTATCAGGTAAATATTATAATTATTGATTTCATCACATAACAAACTGCGATGCTAGGCGTATCTAAAATCAAGCTTAGAGTCTATATTGGTGCCTATTTCTCAAAGTCTTCTCAGGGTGCTTAAGCGCGCCCTGAACCCCAGCCGTGGCGTCACGCACTTTTCCTCGCTGCCCTTTTCTGGCCCTACAATTTTATTCTGCTGTGAATTTTGGCTCGCCGTCAATCAACTTGGGGGGCCCCTCTTGTACATCGTTTCCAAAATACATACCATTTTTTTAAGAATACAAATAGCCTAGTTTTATCTCAAATAGCAAATTATTTACCACCTCCTAAATTTCGAACACCCCCAACCGGAAAGTGGAAAGTTTTTCAAAACTATGAAGCCTATGTTCATTTTTGAAACTTAACTAAAGCAGCTCGTGCCTATTAGTGGCGAAGTCGCTGTTCTTCACCTGTTGTTGACTATCTGGTAAAAGCGTTATTCAGGAATAGGATAAAGTCGAAATTCAAATTTGATGCAATGATATTGCATCGATATTAAATCTATTTCATTGTGGATAATAGGAAACGCATTTCAATTTGTTTAAGAATTTTTAATATTAAAATCATTTGTCAACATGGTATCTGCATAAAATAAAAGATATTCAATATTCGTATGCTTCATCTTATGATTTGAATTTTTACCATTAGTAATAGTATTTGTTACTTTATGTGAATACATTGTCTTGCAAAACATTACCGATTACGTTTCGACATTCTTGAGACAACCCTACAAATTGTACCTCTGTTTTGAGCTTTGTATTTTGTATTGCAGCTTTAGCAATCGTCCCGAGGCAATAATTCCCACTAATGATGTTTGCTCCTGAAGTTATTTAGTGATTAAATAGTATAAATCATAGTTTCAGTAACTCTTATTGCCTCAGTCACTAGTGCTAATCGGCGTTCGTCTACCCCTGATAAAAATTAGAAATCACTTCTCAATAGTCAAATATATATTGAAATATAAAACACTTTTTCGGATTTTTTCAAAGTGAGTGGTAAAACATTGTATAATATTCCCTTAATTGCTTTTTATTAACCCATTTAATTATTCAATTCTATTTATATTATAATCCTGATTCCGCACCTCGATATTTTCAAGTCAAAGACATACGACATATTAAAATTTTACTTAGCGGCAAAAAATTCAAATTTAATAATGGCTCTTTTGACCTATACCTTTTAAACAAAACTTTTTAAATATAATTCTGGGTTGAAATTCTAAACAGTCCAGAGAACGGCGCTTCAGAAGTGTGTGTTTACCGACATGGAGGTAACAAGTTTAATTCGCCTACTTTACATCAAGGTGTGTAAAAGGGCTGAAACCTTTGAGCAGGGGGTATATTCACCTGGTTAACAAAAACAGTCCACGAATTCGTAATAGAACTAACATAGGGAAAATCGGAATAACATTATGGTCCAACCTTAACTTTGTACACACACTACGGGAGAACCATTATTTTTTTAAGTCGATTCATATTTTTTGTTTATTTCATCGAATAAACAATATTTCTTGACCATGTTTTCATTTCCCCTTGAGGGTCTAAATCGGTATTGGCTATTTCGTTGGCGGCCGAAGACGACATTCTAGACGGCCGAAGCTCGAGGTCCTTCCCGATTCTTCTCAATGTCACGGACCGAAATTCCCGTGTTTATGTTGTTTATTTATTGGATAAGGAGTGGATCGTTTCGTTAGTTTCTATTTTACCTATTTTTCTCAATTTCACGCTCGCATGTAGCACCGACCAAATGCATGAAATGTGCAACTATTACTTGAAATTTAATGGTAAGTTGATTTTTTATTGTCATTCAATCATTATTTACATGCGCCGAGATTAGAGGTGGGCAAAATCGTATTTTGTAATCGAATGATTCGAATATTTTTAACGAATACCGAATAATGAGTATTGTCATTTTAAACAACATATTTTTTGTCACCGCGACCGTTTCAGCAGCTGGCATCCCAAATGACGTTGGTAAACCATATTAAAAATAACTATATTTACCTTTCGCATAACTTTGTGTTACAGATATTTGTTTGTTTTGAGCAAAACTTAAGTTTCTAGCGAGTTGAAACAATTTTACTTTATTTCCCAAGAATCCTGTTTATGCGACCTCCACATAAACTTCAAGCGGAAACCAATAAAATTAAAATTCTCGTAATAAAGCGAAATTCTCAAACAAATTGCATAAATGTAATAAAAATAGCGTTTATTTTCCCTGAATTTTACTAGAATGAACTGTCGCTGTCTCCGTGTAAATTATTCGAAATAGGTTCATAACCTCAACTACTGAACTATGTGAAAAATGCCAAAAGTAAATCTTATGCTGAGGCATCACATGGAAGCTACGATTTACTTTACGCTAGTAAATTTACACAGTACACATCTGAGATATACCTCCGTAAGATATTTCAAACATCAATGCAACGGCCAACGTCATTAAAGTTTGAAAAAAAGGTTTTTATCACTGTCTATAGACTGTGCTTAGTTGCTCAAGCAAAAATAATTATTACGAATTAGATGATAAAAGTTCATACTTTTATTATATTTCAAATCGTCCCTTCTGTATTAATTTACCACGGCTGAAGTGCTCCTTAATTATTGCATTAACCCTTCGTGCCCGACCGGTGAACATTATCGGGTACTCCCGTAGTGTTTGTACCAGGTTAGGGTTAGGCCAAAATTGTATTCCGATTTTCCTTATTATAGTTCCATTATGAGTTCGGAGAGTGTCTGTGTTATAAACACAAAGTGATATGACCTCCGCCTTCTGCTGGGTTCCAGTTTTTTTTTATACAACTTGATGTAAAGTCAGCGAATACAATTAGTAACCTCCATATTGGTACACACACTTCCAAGGAACCCGTGCATACACCAAACTACACAGATTGAAACGACGGAATAATTTACCTAAGAATTAACAAAAACGGAAGAGATTTGTCAAACTTGATGCTATTCGGTATACTGTTCCGACAACTGTTACACAAACTTTGCTCGTCAAAGTACGTGTTTTTTGAACCAATAGCATTCATAAATATAATTAAATTTTTTATACAAGGTTGTCCATAGAAAAGCAGAACATTTGTCAAACAGTTGTGTATTTTTAGAAATGATGTTTGAAATCTCACAAGTTAACTTTCATGACTTTATAATTGCTTGGACTTCTAGGTTAAAGCACTGCTCTGATGGGCACAAACGACATTTTGAGAAGCTCTGAGTGTAAAATAACATATGCCTTTGAAAACCTTTATAACACTAATTTTTTGTAAATATAAAGAGCTGTTTGATACATTTTCTGTTTTTTTTTAGCGACTACCCTGTAGAATGTAAAAACATACAACTTAAGATTATCTGAACAACAAAATATTATATATTTTTAAAGCCGAAATCAGGGTCTTTCACACTTTAGGGTGCTAGTTGACACAGAAAGTGCCGTGCGGTATAAAAAACAACCTCGATGATCGTAAGCTTGTTTTGGTTCAACCTATCTTTGTGAATCAACCTTTTATTATATGAACTTTATCAAGAACAAACACTGAACACGCCTCACCGATGAACATCTGCAAGACTCACTCAGAGTTTCGGAGTCAAGTTGCCAACCAGAGTACAACACAAGGGTGGATAACATGCAAATACCAGGATTCCCACAAACTGAGGAGGATTACACCAGATTTGGTCTTGATTGAAAATATGATATATATCCATGATTTGTTTTAACAATATCAGTGTCTCATTGGCTAAATACCGTTAATATCAAATTGGCTTTTTCGAAGAGTGCCCTTAGCTTAGTCGGTACCCAGAAAGTAGCCCGCTGCTTCATAAAGGTTGGTGACCCCTGGTCTATAGTATAGAGTCCAGAGATGGCGAACCTTTTTCAATGAATGGGTCAAAAATTATAATTTTATCGCGGAACAGAAGAGAGTGGGTCACAGATATCTAATTCACGTTCGTATCTATAATAAACTTCTGAAACAAATCTTATAAGCTAGTGTTTGTGTAGTTTTGGGCTTTACTTATGCAGCACTTCTATCAGGGACTTTTCATGGCACTCGGTTTTTATGATATTAGAGTACGAAAACACGCATATGAATTATCAAAAACGTTTAGGATGATGCGTTAAATTATTTTACGGTTCTAGTGTTTGGAGGTAATTCCGCTTTGATAGTGTTATAATTTTCGATTAGCTTCCAACCACATTAAGCCACTTTTACACTGCCCCATTGTTATATCAGATTTCTAGATTTTTATTTCAAGTCTGAAAGTTTTTGTTTCCACAACGGCATTGTAGACGAGAAACTAATAAAATGCAAAGTAGCATCTAGTTCTCGTATAACCCCTAAAACAGTCTGCAGATGCACTTCCGAAATAGACAGGCGTTGCGAGAAATGAACAGATCAAGTGCATTGTTATGTCTTAAACGATGTCAGGCCCAATAGCTGAATAACGGTACACAGCGGAGCATACATGCGTACAAGATTAGGGGTTTTGAAAATTACCATACCGGCCCGAAAATCAACATTTTGAACATGAGCGATCGCAACCCTCCCTGGCTGTACATTATAATAGTTTAGTTATTGTTAGATTAATTTAAGGCCGGTTTTACATTAATTTTTATCACTGATATGTTAGCATTTTATTTTATTCGTGCCTTCGCTTGGCGGGTCACAAATAAAACGCGGTGGTTCGAGTCAGTGGTTCGCCATCCCTGGTATAGACTCTACACTACACTATATTGTCATTTATTTCAAATTAATAAGTATTACCTCTATATCTATAATCTATATCAGGGGTGGCCAACACGTCGATCGCGATCGACCGGTCGATCTTCACGTTTCGAGTGGTCGATCGCCTCTATTGTTGGTAAATTTAACAACATACCCCCAAAATTTCCTGAAGCAGTTTCATGCAGCGCCTGTTGTGTGTTTTAAAACAGAACGAATACAGTACTGTACATGTGCAAAAATAGACATACAGTATTTGAGTCTGGACAAGCCCCATTTACATGTTATTACGTAAAAATGCAAGTTTCGCCGCTACCAAGTTTAAATTAAACTTGCCGAATATTGTGTGTTTTAGTTGACAAATGTGCAGTGAGTTGAATTATTGTAAATTAGATGCTGAAAATCGAGCAGTAGTGTTTCATTGATGGTTTTCGAAAATTTATTTTTCTCTATTTGTGTAGTACGCTAAAACTTGGCAAAGTTTTTTGAGAAATTTACTACACTCGGGGCTAAAAATAGGCATGTGTTAGGTCTGAATTGTATGATTTGAAAAAATGAATGGTGAAACATTTACTCCGGCTACTATTACATAATCAAATTAACAAATTAAATGGAACATAAATAATACAAATTTTTGTGACGTTTTAATTGAGAATGTGCCCACAGAGCTGAGCTTATCGGCAGTGCTGTATTTTTTTGTATGCGTGTTTGCAATAATCTATGCATAATCAGTACCCATTCGTTTTTGTATATATATGACCTTATTACCAATCAGTCGATATCGAGCTATTTTGAAGATTTTAGTCGATCGCGGACGAAAGCAGGTTGGCCACCCCTGATCTATATGACTGAATGTATTACTCAGTATTTTTGATTTATGATACTGATTATTTATAGCAAATACTATTTTTCAGTCAAAACGCAAAATTCATGTTTATAAGTACGGCTGTGTTGTGATGAATACTAACTTGTCATCCTGATAAGTGGATAGTTATCTAAATGATCTCAACAAATGTTGCTAAAGCATACGTGCATTTGAAGATTGGGTTCTCTCTTGTATCGAACTCACTAACAAAAGGTTCCCTCATTTCAAATACTCATGAAAAACCTTTATTTCTGAAACTACACCATTGGATTTTCTTTGGGATCCCCGACACCACAACACCGTGCGATGCCCCTGAATCCTACCACTGGTTATTTTGTTTCAGCATTAAATTCAGTTTCGTATCGTAGCGTTTCACTGTATACTGTCAAAATAAACTTTTACAAACAGGAGAGTTGATAATAAAATGTATAGATGATTGATAACTGCTAGCTGGTGGTTCACAATTAAAAATTTGGGCAGTAACGTGAAGTTTAAAAAAATCGTGAAATTTTAGAGAAGACTTGATTCACTTTCTTCGACGTCTCAATTTTTGTAGTTTCTGTTTTAATTTTATCTTTCTGAATTGTTGTTCTGCCTTTTTTAAATTGTCTCCTCACCAAAACAGAACATGACATTTTTGTATTTATTCCATATTATATTTACTAATTACTGAATAACATTTCTTCTGTTGTATGCAATGTATTCCTTCTCTTTGCATGACGTTGGTATTATTGATTCTGAAATATAAAAAGGATTTTTCTTGAAAGGTTTCATATGGATATAACAGTATTTGAATATCGACTTATTGCCCATCTATTGAATCAGCCATGAAAATGTAACAGATCCAATATTGCCACTTGTTATGATGTCTTGCACTTTCTGATAGCAGGAACATAAAATTCAAATAACACTATATAACAATTGCAATAAAATTTTCTTACTTGTTTACAAACATCAATTTACATCAGTCCATGTTACAAAAACCATTGTAGCATGTGAAATGGCCGAAGCCAATATTGTTGCAATCTGAGTTTTTCTTGCAAACTTTAAAAAACAAGAATGCATCTTGAAGATTTCGGTTTTTATTTGGTCTTATATGTGAGCAGTTCAATTTTGAAAACAACATATTTCAAAATCGTTTAGTTGAATATCTAATGCAATCTTGTGGTAATCAAAATATCGAACTCCCTTTTCACTAAACAGCTCGAAAATGATATTTCGCAAGTAGGTAAAGAGATGTGGTTGACATGTTTGTGATGAGAATGCAATTCATTAGAAAATTATCAACTAGTTTACCAAATAAATTCATTCATTTTATTATAGTAAATATAATATTCTTTCATCCCCGAGTTGTAGACTGAACACATTGCTTAAAATGCAGTATATTTACACAGTGCAAATTTGAGGTGTACTAACCATAAGCTGTTGTAATAAACAACAATCCAACGGTCAACGCGAATAATGTTGAAAAAAGTTTTTCCATCACTGTCGATAGTCTGGGTGTAGTTGCTCTAGTCTAGCATACAAAATTATTCCAAATTAAAAGTTGACCTTCTATTTTTCTCAATATATATTATGCTGCATTTGTTCTATTCAACTGGCTCTGTGCCGGGTTATATATTACCACTATTGAAATGTTTCTTATTCAACGTACTAGACCCTGACCTGTTTCTTGCTCCAAATTTTGTGCTAATGAAAATTTGAAAATAAATACAATGATATATTTTTTGACAGATATAATAAAATCGCATTAAATAGTTGGTGATATTACTTTGTGATGAAAAAAATAACTCTTTGACTCTAGCAAAATCGATGGTCTTGGATGCTCGGCCAAAATATTTTTGATAACGTCGCCGATGTTCCAAGCATTACTTATTAAAATAAGGCGATAAAAATTGGACTATGAAACGCTCAATCCTTCGCTAATAACTTACTGCCCCATTCATTGCGATTTATTCTATAGGTCCATGCTCCCTTGAAAATCCATTTTAAACTGGAATAAAATAGAAAAATGGCATGTATTAATATATTCCTTCCATATGGAAATTTCGTGTTGTTAAAAAAAAATGCAAAACCTTTTGCTTTCTGAATTATTCAGCACCATTCTCTGGTTTTACTGCAGTGTATGTGTCGCGTTCATATTCCGAATAACACCATAATTATTTTTCTGCTCGAATTACTAACCATCGTTTAGTTGTTGATGATAGGAACTGTTTTTCGGAGAAATTACAAGGAGATAGCGATAGTTACCATCAGTTGAATTCAAAGAAGAGAAAATGCTAATTGTATTACACTGATGCAATCTGTCCGAACGGAAACTAATAAAACCAAAATTCACAAATTGAAGCGAAATTACCAAACAAATTGCATTAATGGAATACAATTAGCATTTTCCCTTCTTTGAATTCAACTGATGGGAACTATTGCTACCTCCTTGTGATTCTTCGAAAAATAGGTTATATCCTCAATAACTGAACGATGCTCAGTAATTCGAGCAGAAAAATAATTATGGAGTTTTTCGGAATATCAATACGATTCCTGGCAAATAAAGTAAAATTGTTTAACCTCACAATATAGTAATCAGTGATTTAATTTTTCACCAAACAGAAAAAAAAAACTTTATGCAAATAAATATAATGAAGGCACTTTAATATAGCATTTCAGTTACACATACACTGCAGGAAAATTAGAGAATAGTGCTGAATAATTCAGAATGCAAAAGGTTTAGCATTTTTTTCAACAACACGAAATTGTAACATGAAAGGAATATTAATTATTACATGCATTTTGCTATTTTATTCCAGTTGAAAATGGATTTTCATGGGAGCGTTGACTTATAGTAATATGGCTAATAATGGGACAGTAAGTTCTTAGCAAAGGATGGAGCGTTTCATAATCCAATTTTTATCTCCGTATTTTAATAGGTAATGCTTAGGCCATCGACGACGTCATCGAAATATATAGACAGCGCATCTAAGACCATCGATATTGCTAAACCCAAAAAGTTTTTTTTATCACAAAGTGATATCATCAATTATTTAATGAGATTTTATTATATCTGTCAAAAAATATATCATTAAAGTTTTTTTCAAATTTCCATTAGCACAGAATTTTTAGCAAGAGACAGGTCGGGATCAAGTACGTTTAATAAGAAACATTTCAATAGTCGTAATATGAATCAGCAGGGACATTTACATAGGGAAAATACAGCATAATATATATCTCGAGAAACACGAAAGGTCAATTTTTAATTTGCAATACTTCTATTTGCTAGACTATAGCAACTAAAACCAGACTATCGACAGTAATGAAAAATTTTGGTGCTCCCGAAGTATGTGCACTAAGATGGCGCACAACCTTAACATAGTATGTAAACCGGTATAGGGATATCAGGTTGTGCGCCATCTTGATGCTCATACTTCTAGAGCGCCAAAATGTTATTCAACAACTTTCATCAATGTAATGCAATTAGCATTTTCCCTTCTTTGAATTCAACTGATAAGAACTATCGCTACCTGCTTGTAATTTCTCCGAAAAAAATAGTTCATATAATCAACAACTGAACGATGGTTAGTAATTCGAACAGGAAATACCTATGAAGTTATTCGGAATATGAACACGATTCTTGGTGAATAAAGTAAATTTGTTCAACCTCACAATATAGTTACACACACACTCCGGTAAAACCACAGAATGGTGATGAATATTTCAAAAAGATAAATCTTCGAATCTTTTTAATAACACAAAATTGCAATATGGTAGGAACATTAATACATGCATTTTTTCAATTTTATTCCAGGTTGAAATGGATTTTATATGGGAGCGTTGACTTATAGAATATATAGCTATGATTGGGGTAGTAAGTTATTAGCAAATAATTGAGCGTTTTAATATTCAATTTTTGTCGCCTTATTTTAATAGGTATTGCTTGGACCACCGGCGACTTTATCGAAAATATAGTGGCCGCGCATCCAAGACCATCGATTTTGCTAAACCCAAAGATTTTTTTTAAACAAAGTGATATCACCAACTATTTAATTAGATTTTATTATATCTGTCAAAACAGCTCAAAGTTAGTAATTCTCAAACTAGGACAGTGTAAATAAACTGCGTTTTAAGCAATTATGTTCAGCCTAAAACTCAGAGAGGAAAAGAATATTATATTTACTATAATAAAATGGGTGAATTTATTTGGTAAATTAGTTGATAATTTTCTAATAAATAGAATTGCCATCAGAAACATGTCAACCACAACTCTTTACCTACTTGCAAAATATCGGCTTCCAGCTGTTTGGTGAAAAGGGAGTTTTCAATATAAATAAACCAATATTTTGGTCACCACAAGATTGCATTAAATATATAACTAAACGATTCTAAAATCTGTTGTTTTCAAAATTAAACTGCTCACATATAAGACCAAATATAAACCGAAATTTTCAATATGCATTCATCTTTTTTAAAGATTGCAAGAAAAACTCAGATTGCGACAATCTTGTCTTTGGCGATTACCGATGTTACGATGGTTTCTGTGCACTGGTTATGGGCTAACAAGCAAGAAATTTTATTGCAATAGTTAACTTGGGTAATCCGAATTTTCTGTTCCTGCTATCAGAAAGTGCAAGACATCATAACAAGTGGCAATATTGTATCTGTTACATTTCTTATGGCTGATTCAATAGATGGCCAATAATTTGATATTCAAATACTTTTATATCCAGAAAAAACCATTCGAGGAAATTTCTTTTTATATTTCAGAATCAATAATACCAACGTCATGGAAAGAGAAGGAAAACATTGCATACAACATAGGAAATGTTATTCAGTGATTAGTAAATATAATATGGAATAAATACAAAAATATCATGTTCTGTTATGATTTGGCAAAAGAACATTTAATATAGGTAAAACACCAAATTAGACAGATTAATTTAAAACAGTAACTACAAAAATTTAAACGCCGAAGTAAGTGAATCAAGACAAAATTTCTTAAATGTGAAACACTAGGTAGCAGATACAAATCCACCAATCCTTTATGAATTTTAAATCAACTATTCTGTTTGGCAAAGTTTATTTTGACAGTATACAGTGAAACGCTGAGATACAAAACTGAATTTAATGCCGAAAGCATGATAACCAGTGATAAAATTCAGAGGCATCGCACAGGGTTGAATTGTCGTGGTAATTCCGTCCCCAAAGCAAACCCGATAGTGCATTTTCAGAGATATATTTTTCGCATGGTTACTCTAAATGAGGGATTGTTATTGATGAGATCGACACAAGAGAAAACCCGATCTTCAAATTCACGTATGCTTTAGCAACATATGTGGAGATCATTTGCATTTTAATAGCCTTCCACTTACCAGGGTGACTAGTTAATATTCCTCACAACACAGCCGTACTTATAAACGTTTTGACCGAAAAATAGTTTTTATTATAAATAATCAGTATCATAATATAATATGGAATGTAGGCTACAATCGAAAGGAGCGTCCGCAATCAACGTAAAATTGGTTTTACGACATATTATAAAATATAGTGCCTCAAATAACAGCATGGACTGAGAGAGAAAGTTAATTTCATTTGTCATAACAAGACAACATAATTCAAGCATACATATATATGTTAATAATGAATACACGAATGTTATCGGTATATGACTGAGAAACAACGATACGACCTTTTGGGGTCAGCAGGGTCGATGGAATGGACAATGGATGATCCAAAGTTTAATTTTCTAATGGGATTATGAAGAGTTTGTTAGCATATTAATAATAAAATACTTAAGGTCACTTGCCACTGCAGCCATCAACTTTCAATAGTGTGAAAATATTCACATTTTAATTTTAGGAACAGTATAGATTTTTTAGAATAATTTTCCAATTATTTAGCATAAAAAATATTAGAATATTATTAACGAAAATATTTATTTCGTTTAAAATAGCAAAAACATAGTTTCCATAAACTATATTTTTGCCTCTGAAGGAGTTAGTTAAGATACCAAACACAGCAGATAATAAAATGTCAGTTACCACGGTGACTATAGCTAGCACTGTAGACTTTTGCAGCAATGCAACTAACGGATCCCCAACTGACGTTCTTTGTAGGTTTACGTTAATTTTTGGCTCATTCTTGCTCTTCTTTGTTTGCTCTGATGATACTATCTCATTAACAGGATGATCATCTTTGGCAGCAGCATCTTGAACATCCAGAAAATTTTGATTTTCCTCAATCGGTTCTGGTGCATTTGATATATCTTCCGACTGAACTCGCTTTTTCATGGTTCGATTTTTTTCTCTTCGAGAAAGAAGTATTCCACTTGGCACGTTGACGGAACATTCTCCGACAATCGAAACGTCAGCTACGGTTAGTCGTTTGGCAGAAGGTAATGAATTTATTAAGTTTTCACGGAGTTTTCTGGACGAAACACTATCTTCGCTTGTTATTGTTTCAGATTTTAAATTTGATGCATGATTTAGTTGGTCATCATTTTTATTCGTCCCGTCTTTGCATGTTGGTGTGCCTGAGGTAGATGGTTCATTTTTTTCTGACGACGGAAGAAGTTTACGTGTTTGGTGATCTTTTTCTGTTTGTCTAATTTGACGTTGGAATTTTCTATTTCTAACATGTTTGATTAGTGAAAACAAAAATAAAAATAAAAGCAAACCTTGGCTACAAAGTGCTAGAAACATCTGAATTGGTAACAAGGTATTCTTTTGAAGATTATTTTCATCGGTGAGGTTTTGTATACATTCTCTGCCATCAGACACCGTTTGTATTGTACTAGCAAACACATATAGAAAGTATGCGTTCTGCAATATTATTAAAACAAGACAAATATAACTTAGTTTTCTGAGCCATTTTGGTACAAGTCTGTTCATATTCGGATGTGAATATAATACATATTGTCTGGTCCATAATGTCAGATAGATAGTAAAGTTATTCGAAACGTACAAAACAGCGAACATGTATGTAATGTAATAGCATATAGCATCAGTTGACTTTATAAAAACAGTAGTTTGAATATCGGTAGAAAACGACATGACGAACAAAATAGACTTTTTATCCGGCAATTTGCATTCGAATTTGTGTTGACGTATTCCATATGATGTCATTGTAATAAATTTTGATATTGTGACACAAAACATGAAGACAAATAGAACTTGACAGATAATCCATTGGAAGTTGTTATACGTCCTTATTGCAATGTATTCCTTTAAAGTTAAATTTAAATTCAACAGTGTATGATTTGCTATTACACTACCATTTTCCATAGATAATGGGTTGATCTTTATTGCAAACCTAGCATCTGTGAAAATGTAACAAATAAGCCAATATAATGCATTTATCCTATATCAAATATAGTTCTAGAAACCCCAGTACTGTTGGCATCAAATAGGTGACGTAGCTAAATTTGGATATATTAACAGAATAAATGAGTATGAAGATGAGATTGCAGTATAAATCAAACGAAGAAATTTAACAAAAGCGCGAATTCTGGCGGAAAAAGTATGTTTTCTGACGAGATAAGATGCTTACAGTGAACATATGGAAATAAATGTGAAGTCATCTCAAATTGAAAAAATATGTGTTCGTGTAAATAAGTAATAAAATACAATGAAATAAGTAATAGTGAAGTAATACTAACTAGATGAAGAACAATTTTGAAATATTAAACCAATGCCCATTTTGTACTCACAAACATAAAATACTATCTTAGACTCAAAGTATGTACTATCTGTCTCAGCGTATACTGTTTTCAACTGTTCTAATAAATGCATCCGAATTTTACTACATTGTATAGACGCGGAACGAATCGTATTAACCAATATTTAAACTTTGATTGTCGAGCTTGTGTGATAATTAATTTACCGTCATTTCTATAAATATTTCAGTCTACATACAAATTCGTTCCGTTTTTGGGTCATGTTAACGATAATTTGTTTTCCTTTCCCTATTTTCTATTTTACTACATAATATGAGATTGAACATTATTTGTACTATACTGTCGTACATATTTGACGAGATGAAAACCGTAAATAATCTCAATATTTCAATGAACAGCAATTACACGAAAACTTCGCTTAGTGTGTAAATTAAAATTAAATCGCTCGAGGGAAAATAATATAACAATTAATTTAGTAATTATCGGATGATGGCGCAATATATGACAGCAATAGTAAAATCATTTGCACAAAATAAAACGAAGTTTGTAAAATTTTGAAAATAACTTGGTTCAAGGTCTCGTCGTGATCATGGTGAATTGTGCACAAAACAACAAAATGAGAACTTGTAGGTGCATTTGATGAAGATATGATAAGTTATACCTAAGTCCTTCCACCTAACATAGAGGCGTAGTCAGGGAGTGGTTTAGGGTGTCTATGTGGCATGTTTGTTCGATGCCGTACTCGGCAGAATAAAGTAAATATATATTTGTCACATCACTACTATCGACTTGCTTGTTCGCTAACAATCGTTGCTTACTAGGTATAGTTGTCCGGAAAGCACTCTCAGGGAGTGGAAGTTAGTTAAAAACAGAGAAATGATTCTAAATGTCGCAGCTATTGAAAAATCTTGAATGAAACTTCCCACTTGCCCACAGGGTTTTAAAAATTCAATACACTTGCTACTTTAATTTCAGGATGCGTAAGGAATATATATATTTAATTATTTATGGATCGGTTACCCCAAACAAGAATAACAGCGTAATAATTTAAAATAATTATAATCAACTACGTATATTTCCGATACTAACTATAATACGAGGCAATATTAAACCACTCAATTGTTTAGTTTCTTGAATACGAGTGAATTGGAGAGTAAATAGGAAAGGACGATATTTATATTTAAGTGTAGCATTACTATTTCCGCTCATATAGCTTGAAACACTGTGACTTAATACATGAAATATTAGAAATTAATATAACATCGGATAAATATACTGGTGTACACAGCCATAACGCTGGACTTTACTGCAGAGCCCGCATTGATGAAGTTTTGGTGAGAATAATCAAATATACTTTGCGACTTGCAAATCAAATGTGGACCGGTGAGAATATCATCAAGTGTCGAACAATAGTCGTATTGATAGCTTTGTAGATTGGTATATGCAAAGTCATGATCAGGCAATGGAATTCCGAACAATTTTGGTTGATGTGTTAACTATTTAATATATTGAGTTGTATATTAGACATTTCATGGCCTATTGAGAAAATAAAATTATGTTTTTCTCTATGACAACGCCCCTGACGATCATATTTTATCTCTTCAGCAAATGTTAAATTAGTTCTTCAGAATAAAAATACCCACTAAAAAAAATACGAAGCATCCGCAGCACAAGATGAGCACGAACGAAGGCATGTATTCGAGATTATTCTTTCTTCTTTACTCAATATTTTCTGCTGTTATTTTCGCAAAATTTGTCTTTTCCTAAATTTGGTATGTATTGTATATTACGACAATGTGGGATGCAACACTTCATGTATTTTATAAAATAAAAATTGGATTTTTCCGCCGATAGCAATGAGCAAGGACTTAAACAAGTAAAAAGTGCAAACTATCTCAATTGAATATTTGTTTAACGACTGGATTATGATTGCAACTATAAGTAATGTTGTAAGGAACAATTGAGGTAAGAAGCGTCACCTAGTGATTATTCAAAATTCAACCTTATAGAAGAAAAACAATGCTCATTTCACTTATTTATGCATCAAATGACATCAACAATATAACAGGATATAACAAGCACAGATTTATAAAATTCCTCCAAAATTTAATTTCTGCCCTAAAAATCAGAATAATTTTTTTAATATCTTGGTTATATATAGTGATTTTAATCTTTTTTTACAGATCCTGTTAGTGACGAAAACGAAGAACATGAAGCAGGTGCTGGTAAGTCTTGCAATCATGATTGGTCAATTTCACGCGGAGGTAAACAAAGGAAACCTAAACCTTAACGTTGTTAATATTATCATGTATTTTATCTCATTTATTTCATGATTATTCAATTACTATCTAATTTTCAGTTATAGCAGTTTCTAAAAACTATAAAACAATCCTTGGTGACATAAGTTTTATATCCTTTGGGTACTCCCGAAGTATGTGTACCAGGTTTGGGTTAGGCCATGATTTTATTCCGATTTTTATTTTAGTTCTATTATGTATTCGGGGACTATCTGTGTTAGCCATGTGAATATCCCACGGCCCGTAGATTTCAGTCTCTTTACACAACTTGACGTAAAAACGACGAACAAAATTAGTTATCTTTATATTGGTACACATACTTCTGGAGCAACTTTCAAACTATGAAAAGTATAAATTTCAGTCCTATATTTTTATCAGTGACTCATATTCAAGAAATCAGCGGAGGAACATTAAACCATCCGATTCTGGGTAATCAGTATAAGACAGTTAACAAAACGTATTTTCACACCACTGTTCGTCGTAAAATAGATCACGACAGTTTCAAAGTAACTGAGACGGGTAAGTTAATTACATGCAGCGCTGTCGTTACTATATATATTCAAATTTTGACTAAGGATCATTTCAGGGATCCAACTGAAAAATTTGTATTGCGTGCCACTATGTGTCGCATACAAGATATGATATTACATATATACTATAACAAGATATATTTAAATTAGATCTTTGGTTAATTCTACTCGAGGTCTCAGTAATCAATCATTTTTTCTATACACAACTAACCAAACTGATTCTTATCTTTGTGGTGCATTGTTTTGTGCATACCGCCATTGAAAAAACATATCAAACGCTGATAACAATTTTCTGTTTCTCTTCGATATAGAGCAGGAAATTATATCAAAACAATGTTTTATTTTACTATACATTTTGTGCAATGTATTTATATTTAGAGAATAACTCATTCCGTAGTTGCTTTTCAAAGTAAAAATAGCAATTGGCTTACAGTGAAACAGTAAATTTGTGCACGGAATGCATAATGAATGTAAAACAAGCTTGATTGGTCAAAATAAGGGTCAAATTTCATTCTTTCATGTAACTGTAAAATCACTTTTTGTTTATTTGGTTTTCAGGAACGTTTACGTTACGACCAATTCTAGAAGTCTCTGAAAATGACCCCATAAACGCAGAATCTCGAGTCTTCCGCGGAAAGTTAAGTAGCAAATTTGTCGCAATTAATGAAGTAGTTGTCAAAATTGATTCAAACAATGAAAGATCAAAACGAGAAGCGAGCCTGGTCATGAAAATCCCATATCATAAAAACATAGTGAAACCACTATTTGCCGACACATTTAGTTATCGCGGTCAGCAATCGATCTACATTGCCTTTGAGAAATGCGACACAAATATGCATGAATATGTTTCTTCTCAACTCCTAGCTTGTGTTCCATACGATCCAGATAAATATTTATCGTTTGGATACCAAGTTACGTCTGGCGTTGATTTTTTACACAAACATGGCATAGCCAGCAGAGATTTGAAACCATCAAATTTGCTGCTTACTGAAAACTCAAGTGTCGTAAAAATATGCGATTTCGGCATGTCTAAGCAAGTGATGCCTGGACAAGAATTTGCAGCTCCTAGCATACTTCGACCTGGTACAGATGGATGGCGTGCCCCTGAGGTATTGCTACATGAACCCCATGATCCGATGATTTCAGATACGTATTCTTTGGCTCTAAATCTCTTTTATTTGTGGAGCTACGGGAAACATGCGTTTGGCAATGATCCAGATTCGTGGAATCATTATATAAAACACGGAATTAATCTTGATCTCAGTCAAATGTTGATTCAAAATTCGGTTGAGGCAAACCAGCTATTGAAATCAATGTTGGAACGGGAACCAAGCAAACGTCCATCTACAAGGGAAGTTATGGAGCATAGTGTATTTCACCAAATAAGTAAGCACAGTAATTTAGGGCTTTGAAATGTGTAATAAATCTCAGTTACACATAGGATAACGTAACAGAATGTAGAATACACAACGTTTTACTGCACACAACGTATAGAAATGTATAATCTTCGCTTTGGCAGCGCGACGCCTACGCCTTCAACTAAAATATTTGCGCTATCACAATATTTGAATAATGACCAAGTCTCCTTAGTGTCGATAATAGTGAGCTGAACTGTTCAAACAAAAAATGATTTTGCACCGTTTATATCAAATGTATACTTCTATTTATGAGCCACACTAACAGTACAAAATTTACATTCGAACACGTGTTAACAACTTCAATTAAACGTAATAAACCAAAGGAAACAACGAAAAATTTATAGTATATTTTCATCAAACCCTACATTTTAATGTATTATGCTATTTTATAGGTTCATCGAGAAACAGAGTCACAGAGTCTCAAATATGTGATGTTGTAGAAAGTGCTCTCACTCTTATAACAGATAGTGATGAGACAGAATTGAGGACATTTACTAATGGTGATTAAAATTTTTCTTGTAAGATTGTCTTAATTAAAACGAACATGGGCTATCGCATCTTTGGGAATTACTGAAAATATGAACGCATTCCGTTTTTACCTTACCTTTACACTGTTTGATATCAGATTGATAGAGGTTTCATTTCAAAAATGTAATTAAAAGCCACTGATGTGACGAAAAACCACTGTCAATGGTGCCATGATCGTCAGATGAATACGCCACCATTTAAAAAAAAAATAAGATTTGTAATTTCAGTTGCAAATATTTTAAATGGCATTAAATACAATTTTGGGTGAATATTGATATATCTTTTTATTTACGGTTAAGTGTCAAATAAATTTCTGTGGTTCGTTCCTTGCAATACAGGCTAAGGATTGCTTAAATTGCTTAAAAAATAGAATTTCAAATAAATGTTATATCAATTTTGGAAATGAATAGATTAAATTTTATTGAAAGTAATTGTGATTTATATTAATATTAATTCTATTTATAGACAAGCCGGAACAAGTCACGGCACTGGGTTTCTCAATCAAAGAGTTGGCAAAAGCAATCAAGACTGTATGCAACCACAACGACCTTGAAATTGTTCCAAAATGGAAAAGTAAATATATATATTTGCTCGCGTTTCGTGAAATTTACATTTGCGTCTATGGTTTTGAATTACTAACAAAATGGAATAGCGTATAGCAAAGGTGCTCCACACGGCTCCGCGAGAGAATCCTAAGGGAATTCGTGATCTATTCGTTTTCTTATTTAAAATATGAATATTTTCCAAGAACAAAGCAGCAAATACATCCGAGTCATTGATTAAAGTAATGTTAGTTTGACCAGTTTTTAAGTTTAAAAATTCATTGTGGGGCTCCATAAATAAGAGTCAACATCTTCACGGGCATCGTAACACCGAACGTTTGAGAACCCTTGGCGTATAGCGTAATTAAAACCTATTTGAATGGACTGCTAGAACAGTTGGTTATACAAATTTTATGTTTATTCGTTATTCAATTCTTAATTGATGTTACGTTAGAATTTGGCTCTCACCTCTCATGCTTGTGTGTCTTGTATTTAAGATTTACTGAATGAAACTTTATTATTCCACAAATTTCTGCAACTATTAGACGTGTTCATACTAAAGTTATGAAACACCCCATCCATCATAAAAAGTAGCCAATATACTCTAGATATTTCACTTATAGCCCCCCCCAATATATGAAGTTTTTTTTCTTTCAGCATCCCCACGAAACAATATAACTAATTACCCATTCCAAGATAATCTTTATCTGAATTCTATCGAAGTAGAACCACAAACATTATCGGGAAATAATCAGGGTAGGTTCTAAACATAACTTAAAGTGTGATCTCATAGAATAGAAAAATAAATAATATTCTTGACACGATAATACCTAACCCTTTAGTATGCTTTGTATAACTTAATTAAATTTTGTTTCTCCGATATTGTTTGTTTTTCAATGATCCCGTAGTATACGTATCAGGGCATTTTCCCTCGGGATACTTTGCCTTACTGCATCCACATTAGTACATACACTCTTGGAGCGCCATAACGCCGCTTTTTCTTCTATTCAAATTTTAGACGGTGATGAATCCAAACCTGCTGAACAAACAGTTGAAACAAAACCGAAAGTAATAGACGCTCCTCAGACAATTCAAAACGTTCCAACTGTAACTCAACAAAATAATGTAGAGGCAGGTATGTATATACAGAAAATATTATATACTTTAGAAATCTGATAGAAATATATTAAGATACCTTCAACAACAGGTTGCTATTGGTTTGTTTCCGTATATACTTGAAAATATTTCACTCTTCATCTTATACCTTGTCATTTTTTTTTGGAGTTCGCCTGGCTTCTAAAATACTTTAAGCCTGGTATGAGCATTTTAGGGCCACGGAAGTTAGATGGTGGTCGCACATTTTATTGAGTGCCTTGATATAATATTTTATTAATTTTGATTTTGAATTCGCTATAAAGTTAATAATTAACGGTTGTCAGTAAAATGCACTATGGATCGATGAGGACGTATATTGTTAACCAGATTGAATCAAAATCAAAACGGTATAACCAGGGAAAAGTGACGACTTGAATACATCTATAATACCTACATCAAATACAATTTCACAGTTCAAATCATAACCTCGATATTTTCTTTTCTTCAGAGTATACAAGTTCAGTTTCTCTGTTAAGTAAAGAATTTTTGGTGGCAATCGTCGGTACATATGGATATTCGGAATTGCGACTTGCCAGAATGTTTCAAAATCTTATTTCACGCCTCTATGACAGCAATGCAAACTGTACACCAGAATATGAAGCCAAGATACATATTGTGACATACACAGGCTATTCGTCTCCTCCTGAATCCCAGGATATTTTAAAATTGCAGAATATACTATCAGAAATGAGCAGCAGTTATGGGGAAATAACTGGAATAATTTTCGCATACGGAGATGGCGCAGAGATCGTGAAATTGGCACTCGACGAATGCAAAATTAAAGAAGTAACACCAAAAGAGTTACGAATCAAAGCGTTGAACAATTTGGCAATTTTTAACTTACACGGATGGCCCCCAATCACCCAGGATCGAGCACAGGTACATATTTTCAAATATTTCAATCGACTGCCTTCTATAATGCATTTGTCTCATTGATCAACTTAACTATTAATTTGTTACTTGGTCACCCACAATTATTATAGAGTCTATCTGTTAAGAATGTATAAATAGACAAACTTAAACTTCCATGTCGTGCACTTTTATGACCACTCTTTGAGTTACCTCTTAGAAAGACTTTTCAAAAGACATCATTAAATTAAATACATTGATAAAATTGTATGGCTCCAGATCTACTTTTCACAAACGGATTTGTTACGGGTAAAAAAGAAATGTTATTTCAAATATATTCCACCCGGGGTAAGCATTCATTTACATTGTTATCGAATTACGGTAGCGCATCTTTGTATTTCAAGATTGTTGAAAATATTCGACTGACTGAAGATGAAACAACTGCAGCTGGAAAAATTGAAGAGATTTTAAGAGAAAAAGACGGAACACTGATAAAGAGAATTTCGTTTCATACGAAGCATCACGCTCGTGGCCTCAAAAACTATCTTGAAGACGATCGTATCTTAAAATACATATTAAAGGCTTTGAAACAAGACCATGAATCTGAATGCTTACAAGGTGAATATTTTTTTACAATTAAAATAAAAAGCTATCTCGAAAATTGAACCGAGTGAAACTAATTACGGCTGGGAATATCATGATAAGTGATTGCTGCAGTTTCGATGCGTGCGTGCAATTTGTTTTTGTTGTGAACTGTTATCGTATCAGGTTTAAGCAAAGTTACATCTGACAAAGAGGGAGGCCGTTGGGAAATGAAAACAATAAATGATGAAACTTAAACTATTGTTGAGAATGACTCACAACCGTAAAAACATTTAATGTTTTCAGATTCAAATAATCTACCACTTCCTCCAACCCAATTAGGCAGTGACGGAACCAGAAAAGAACTCACGGCCAGAGCTCTATATGATTTTACGGCTGGTAAGCGATTTATTTTGTGTGGTTTATATGTGTAGATATCAATACATTCAATAAAACGTAAAATAAACACTAATACTCCAAGCCTTAAAATCAACTTATTAGAAGTTTGGTCAATTTAAAATATCTTATTTTGCAGTACATCAAGACGATATTACACTGGAAAAAGGTGATATTATTACAAACATTGACCCAGCAAAAACAGACGGGAGCTGGTGGCATGGAACATGTCTAGGACGGATGGGTTTTTTCCCCAGTAATTATGTCGAACTTTTGTAACAAATACTAAGAACGTTATAGAAGTGGACATTTTATATCCTTCACTGATTGCTTGTAGACTCATCCGCCCGAAGCGGTTGGCCTAGAAGACTGTATTGTGGCGTCCCCAATTTCCGAGTTATATAAGATAGTGGTGTATTGACAGTACAAACTTCCAGAACAACCAGTGATTGTGAATAACTATCTCTGCTTATACTGGAATGATACTTTTTCACTTGCGGCTTATGAGCCATAAACTATATAAACCGAGTAAAATGTCGCAGTTCTTCTAAGATAAACTAATTACGACTGGGAATATCATGATAAGTGATGCTGTTTCGATGTAGATCTGCGTGCAAGTTATTTTTTGTTGTAAATTATTACGTGTCAGATTTGTTACCAACTTTTGGTGGAATTTACTCCGCGATATTTTCAATCAGCAAATAATACCAACACATTATTACTTCTTCCAGAATCATGCTTATTTCTTTTTCTTAATTTTTTTGTGAGGTTTATCCTCATACTTACTTCTTTATCACACTAAATACGAACTGTTACCATGGCAAGTACTCTTTCTGAAATGCTTTAATAACTGCAGAGAATTACACTGGCGTGGAAGTCAGATATATCAAACGAACCAAATCGACTGTAAATATTTTTACTCAACAGCACAATTCTATTTGTAGAATACACAGCCTTTAGGGATGTATGATCTTTAGCAGGACAAACGAATCTTTCTCGAGATTTTTCTCCAACAGATATTGTTTGAGCTTTTCGGAAACATTATTTTGCTGGAAAGAAGACAAATAATGATAGTCAAGGAATATTTATTAGCCGAAGTTTGGTCGCGCCTGTTTAGACAAATAATAGTAGTGATGCCATATAAATTAGATGAAGTCATTATAGTTGAGTCTCTTTATGACAATATTTTTACCCCATGAACTGCGCAAATTTGCTCGAATCTTACGCTCAATACATGCAGAAAGCTGTACAAAAAAAATCAGACCATGAAACTGTGCGTAATACATATTATAATGGTAGTTTGTACATCCTGAAATTTCGACTGAATATTTCGTTAAGAATCGTGTTTTTTTTAAAACCAGATCTAGCCGGGCTTCAACTTATGTTGCATTTTATATATGGTTCTAATTTAATGGTTGATAAAGGTTAATATTCTAAACGTATACGTCTTATCGTGGACATCTGTAGTAAACACAACCAATAAAACGCTTTTGCGTCTTCAGAAATTGCCGGAAGTAGGAATAGCATCGATTTGAAAATGTAGAGTCAGACCTTTGAAAAGCTGGTATGAATAACTTATAACCTAGATAATAATGAGAGCAGATACTTCGTTTATAATGATTTTGTATTGGCTTAGCATATGTTTTTAGGGAACCATTTGTAAATAAGAATGGAATGTAAAATCATTCCACAATGCCGCTGTCACGTGTAACGGTACACATTGGGTTGTTTACGACTATTGCGCCTATTCGGATCGACAATCATTACATTCGCTGCTTTTCGAAGCTTATATGAAGTGATAATGACGATAGGGCGTGACGTCATATATACGTCAAGTGAAATGTTGAATTTGCAAATTCCGTAAATACAATTGTGAATTTTCTTGTTAACTATTTTAGCTATGATAATGGATGTGGTATTGTTTGGTTGCGGAATAACACACAAATACGATAAAAATTAATTGCCTATAATTAGTGTTTAACCCTCTATCAGATGCAATAACACTCAAGTTCAAGGTTGTTTTTTTACAACTTTTTGGACATAAGGTCGCACAATTAATAAAGTATCATATGTGCGTTCTTTAGCGTCTTCTCGCGGAAGAACACTCTAGCATAAGCATAGCATAAGCCACGGAGTGACGTTTTAGGCACTAATGGTTGACGATAAGGAAAAAATTCAAAAAAGACCATACAAAATGTATGGTTGTAAAATACTAAATCTTCAAGCCTATATTCTTTTTGTATAATTTGAAAGTTTTTCAAAACCGTTTTCAGAGAATAAAGCTGTTTTCGTTAATGATGCATATATTTGTGGTGGCAACAATTAACCCAAACGGATTCAAATGCCTACGTTTTGTTTGATCTTTTTTTTTTCGTTGTATGAAAGCTTTCAGTGTCAAGTGAAATCGAATTATCTAGTTATACGTTTTAGTTTGGTTCACCTGTCAGACTTTTGAGCCTGTTGAATTCTGATCAAGAAATTTCCACATGACCTTGATATATAACAGCAAAGATTGAATGATTTTAACAGATCTACAAAGATGGCGGAGGTTTTTACTCTTATCTATAGAAACAAACGTAATTCAAATGACTCCAACAATAACGTTTTTGTTCGACCTTTTTTGTAAAACAATCACTAATTTCATACCTACATTACTACCCCACAGTTCAGTTGTTGAGGTTACGAACCTTTTTTCTGATAATTTACACGGATACAGCGATAGTTCACTCTAGCTAAATTCAGAGAAGAAAGATCTTATTTTTGTCGTTTTTATGTCATTTGTTTGGCAGTTTCACTCTAAGGCGCGAATTCTAGTTTTATTGGTTTACTTTAATGTAGAATGCGCATAAACAAACTTATTGGAAAATAAAGTAAAATTGTTTCAACTTGCTGTGAACTTAAGTTTTGCTCGAATCCTATATTTGTGGCGAAAAGTTATTTAATTATATTTAAGCACATTTACAAAAAGGTTTGATGTGACCGTATCGAAAATTTATTGAGAAATAAAATGGTGGGGATCAAAGAATATTTATAATTCCGTCTTCAATAATGTATAAGTATAGTATTCTGTTGTTCAGATAATCTGAAAATTTATTCAATTTTCTGGCAAACAAATTTAAGAATATTTTATGAAATTATTGATTCAAGACTCACGTTCTTCTATAAGCTAACTTGGGGCACTCATACGTCTATAAAGCCCCGGAATGATGCTGGAATGAACAGACAGCAGACAGTGTTTGAAACGGAACAACAGCAACGCGGAAATGCGTAATAGAATCTCAATATATGCATTTTGAACTCGTTCAAATTCAAAAGGGATTTTTTTTTCTACGTCATTTGTAATATAAAGTACAGGCGTACCAGTCGTGCTTTTCAATAATGCTACGCAGTGCAAGTTGTCTGCAGCCGTTTTGGCATTTCGCATGATAATTTTTAGTTATATTATTGGCTTCATTGTAGCTACAGAAACAGTAACAAATGACATAAAGTTTGATAAATCTCTAAAAATATCAACTTTTGCTTTTTCAATCCTAATAATTATATTTGCTAGAGCATCTAAGCCGAAACTATCGACAGTGATGAAAAAACTGTTTTCAATATTATTGGCGTTGGCGGTTGCATTGATGTTCGCAATTGGAACATCTCATGGTTCGTACTTCTCTGAAATTTGCACTGTGTAAATTTACTGCATTTTAGGAAATATGTACAGTCTAAAACTCAAGAATGAAAGAATATTATATTTACTATAATAAGACGAGTGAAGGTATTTGCTAAATTAAGAGTCGATAAATTTCTAATGAATAGCACTGCCATGACAACAACAACGTTTTACCTATTTGCAAAATATCGTTTCCGAGCTGTTTGATGAAAAGAAAGTTAGATATTTTGGTCTCCACAACATTAAATTAGAATATTCAACTGAACAATTCTAATTTTTTTTGAAATTGAACTTCTCAAATAACAGAATAAATGAAAACCTAATTGTTCAATAGGTATTCATCTTTGGTAAAGGTTGCGAGACAGACGAAGATTGCAACTGGTGCGAAGATTGCGACCCTGACTATGGCCCTACATGTTATGAGGGTGTTTGTTATTAGCGCAAAATAGTGTTCATGCACTGAAAAGTAAGAGAATTTTATTGCAATTGGTATTGGACGTTATTCGAATTTTGTGTTCCTGCTATCAGAAACTGCGCGACTTCATAACAAGTGGTAATATTTGATCCGGTACATTTTCATGACTGATTCAGTCCAAGGGCAATTATCTAATCTTTAAATACTATTCTATCCAGATGGGATAATTTAAGAAAAATCCTTTTTATATTTCAGAATCAATATTACTAACGCCATGCAAAAAGAAGGAATACATTGCATACAACCCAGGAAATTTTATTCAGTCAATAGTAAATAGAATATGGAATAAATACAAAAACATCATGTTCTGTTATGTTTTTGTAAAGAGACATATCAATATAGGCAAAACAGCAATTTCTTAAAAGAATAATTCAATGAGAATCTACAAAAGTTTGAACACTGAAGTAATGGAATGATGGCAGCTCGGAAATATATTCCTTAATTAAATTCACGATACTTTTCAAACTTCATGTGAATGCGTAAAATTTTTTTTACCAAAATTTTCTTAGATGTTAAAGTTAAATCATTAGTTAGCTACATATCCACCTACAAATAATCTTATACAAATTTGATTCTCAACACGCCTGTTTGACGAGGTTTTTTAGGCAGTATACAGTGGATCGCTATGAACATTATGATATGGATCTGAATTTTATGCTGAAAGTATAATCATTAGTGGTAGCATTTAGGGGGTTGAAATCTTGTGCTAATCTCAATCTTAAAGAGAACCCGAACTTGTATTACCATGGCTATAAGTTTGGCAATTTTTTAAAGTGTTTTAGTGAGTTCGATACACAAGGGAACCCGTTCTCAAAATAATCTTCTTCTGGGTAACACATTCATTGATATAAGTGGAGGTAATACTTGGAGATTTGAAGTAAATGGCAATACAGTATAAACTGTAGGCTACAATCGAAAGAATCGTCCGCATTCAACGTAAAATTGATTTTTCTACATATTATAAAATATAGTGCCTCAAATAACAGCATGGACTGAGAGAGAGAGTTTATTTCATTTGTCATAACAAGAAAACATAATTCAAGCATACATATATATCTAAATAATGAATACACGAATGTTATCGGTATATGACTGAGAAACAACGATACGACCTTTTGGGGTCAGCAGGGTCGATGGAATGGACAATGGATGATCCAACGTTTAATTTCTAATGGGATTATGAAAAGTTAGTTAGCATATTAATAATAAAATACTTTAGACTCAAGGTCACTTGTCACTGCAGCCATCAATTTTCAATAGTGTGAAAATATTCACATTTTAATTTTAGGAACAGTATAGATTTTTTAGAATAATTTTCCAATTATTTAGCATGAAAAATATTAGAATATTATTAACGAAAATATTTATTTCATTTAAAATAGCAAAAACATAGTTTCCATAAACTATATTTTTGCCTCTGAAGGAGTTAGTTAAGATACCAAACACAGCAGATAATAAAATGTCAGTTACCACGGTGACTATAGCTAGCACTGTAGACTTTTGCAGCAATACAACTAACGGATCCCCAACTGACGTTCTTTGTAGGTTTACGTTAAATTTTGGCTCATTCTTGCTCTTCTTTGTTTGCTCTGATGATACTATCTCATTAACAGGATGATCATCTTTGGCAGCAGCATCTTGAACATCCAGAAAATTTTGATTTTCCTCAATCGGTTCTGGTGCATTTGATATATCTTCCGACTGAACTCGCTTTTTCAGGGTTCGATTTTCTTCTCTTCGAGAAAGAAGTATTCCACTTGGCACGT